AACTTTAAAGTTGCATGTGATGTGTAACATTACATTTACAGGGGGTGCACATCTCGATGAATGAATTGGAATGTCGAGATTTGCTATCCATATTCAATACAGTTAGTTTATCTATCAAATAATGACATGTGCTATCTTGATAAATAAATTTGGATATTATTATATTATATTGTATTGCAATTGCATTCTCCTCCGCTAAAAAATTAGCATGCCAAGTTTCCATTAACTGGAAAAACAGTCATTCAGAAACACGGATATTCAGGTAGGCATATCCACATTAATATTAAGTCTGTAGCTTACTATGGTGAAGATCAAAACAAAATACTGCAACAATGACGAATTATCCTTTACTGGAACACAATAGTTGCTAATGCAGAAGTCCCGACGCCAAAAGACGTATACTTACATTATTGTCCACATCTTCACGTGAATTTGAACTAGAACTACATTGCTGTAATGTGTAGTGCCATAGTGTTTAGCAAACATAACAAAATACACGAGTGTAATCTTGTTTATCGTAAATAAAACTACTCACGTGAAGCTGGAGATACAAAATCCGATGGCTCGATAAACCTACTTTGACGCATGCACAGAGGCACTAGACACTATGTTTCAACGGGGGAGGCCGTCTCGACCTAGCCTGGCTCTGCCAGACCCTTGTAGTTCCGCCATGCTCCACCAGAGGCGTTTGGCTGAACCACATGGGTCTGGTATCGACGCCATAGCGAACGCCTTCCCCAGATTATTTTTTAATTGACCAATCAGGATTGCCGGTGTTATGCGGGGTTTGCGCTGCCTTCTCAAGCTTCTCTCATGCAGCAGCGAGAGGAATCCAAGATGGCGGACGTTAAGTCCGCGAATCTTTTTAAAAGAGTAAATACAATCGAATTAAGACACGGATGTCACTTTTAATGCAATTTGAGGCGAGATGTTGATGATTCTATGTTGATATATGTGTGTTTTAAGAGTCAAATGTTCCTGTAAAGTTTGGTTGAAGCACTGGTTCAGTGTTCCTGTTTACACCAGTGGGGGAGGGTCCCAGCTCAAAAGTGGCCAAAATGACGTGTGCTGACATGCTTGCAAATACCAGCCCGGGCCGTTGGGGGTGGACCCAGAAGAAGAATTAGCCAATGCTAACATATAGCGTTAGCAGACCTCTCAAAAACGTCTTTACAGGATGGACCAAAAGTTGGCCCTTGGCCCAAAGCTCTGTTCCACATGTGTGTCAATGCTGAGGGGGGTGAATTTTTTTGGTCCACTCTAGTTTACTCGTGGGGAATTTTTGGAAGTCTCTCGTTCAAATGAAAGGAGCTGCGCCAGCTGACGCATGCGCAGATGCGTTTTTTCACAATTTTCTTGTGGGCGGGACCACTCGCGGCCATCTTGGATTGCTCCATGAAAGCACTTTTCATGGCCAACTCCTATGAACGGCGGAGATAGGCGTGACTCTGTCCGTTAATATATACAGTCTATGGTTTACACACTATGCAGCAGGGTTGCCAGGTTTGGTGGTTCCCGCATATTTTTTTCCAAGAGACTTGTAGGTATTAAATAAACAGAAAGACAATAAACAGAATCATGATAGCCCAAGTTGATTACATTACATTTTTAGCCAAAAAATCATTCTGAGTGTTTTTTTTGTGGGTATTCTCGCGGATTTTGGGTTGGAAAATCTTGCTGGGATTTGGCAACCTATGGGAGCCGTGTGCTTCGATGTGAGTGGTTGAAAGCAGACTTCATTCAAGATAAAAGGACAAGTGGTCTATCCAATCACATACAAGGATTTTTTTACAAGGCCCTGCCTTCTGAAATCCAACCACTATGGCTCAGTACCAGACTCATGTGTGAAGTGCAGCGAACTACATGGGTCTGGCGAGAGTCAGTCTAGTCTCGACCATGGATCTATTATAATAACGGTCTCGACAGAACACCGACGTCAGCATCAAAGCTCCGCCCACTTCTGTGCTTTTCCCCCAACACAGGACGTCAGACGACTGAAAACGTAGATGTTCGGTTATGTATGGATAAAAATTGTTTTATAAACGGAGGGAGGGAAATATTCGGTTTGCACCTCGTTTAGTTCCTTCTTGATTATTTCAGCAATGTCGCCCTTAAAGACCTTATGACGGGTTTGATTTATTTAGAAATACAGTTTTAATACCATTTTATATTAGAAGAAAACTACTAAAGGTTTCAAAATCAGTTGTTGTTTTTTTTGTCTGATCCCCCCAAATCGAAATAACCCCATAGCAACGCCCTTAGAAACGAAAAAACTTCACAGCCCTTGGTGACGTCAGAACGGGTACGTTTCAACGCTGTAAGTTGTTTACAATTTGGTATTCGTTCTTTTTTCGCGGATATTCAAGATGACAAGGCCGTGTATAGCGAGTCTAAGATAAGTACTAGAATGTAACATTTCGTTGTCACTGAGATAGTCCAGTGATTGTGTCGATGGACTGCCAATCCAGACACTTGGGTTCAAATCCCAGCTCGGACATTTTTTCACACTCAAAACGGCAATTTATGTGTAGTGAGCAATTGTCACCTGTAGAGTGCAGTATTGTGTTGGGCACCAGTGGAGAGAAGAGAGAAAAGGCAGTCCTGTGGCATAGATCCATGGTTTTCAATGCATGGGCGTAACCCGCTATGACGTCACACACAGGTTAGAGCATAGACAACTTAAATTCATGAAAAACACGTTCTTTTTATAAAATATAGGATTTTTTTTTCCGGAATCTCTTTCAAATTGACATTGTCATGCAATTTTGATATCCACTATTTTTTTTTAAAAAACCCGTCATAAGGTCTTTAAGAGATGACAATATCCCATTTTAGAGTGCGGCGGAATCGGGATCGGTCGCGGTGGCTACATCCGGAGCTAGCGGAACGCTTGAAGCCGAGGCTGCGGCTGCACGGTGCCTCGGTTTTCGCCTTTTCCTGCCATAATGTGTTGTTCCTCAAACGCCGTTTGCTAACCCCAGATAGCATTTTTGACATGTTTTTTTGTAATGTTTTTTATTTAACCTTTATTTAACCTGGAAAGTCCCATTGAGATTAAGAACCTCTTTTTCATAGGAGTCCTCGACAAACGACAGCAAAAGTTACACACGATTACGTAAATTGTTTGTAACTTCAGCAAATCAGTCAAATTTACCGAAAAATGTCTTATTCAAAGGTTTGAGTCAAGGTTTTCCACATGTTACAGTGATACTGGACGGAAACTGTGATGTCCATTTTAAAGGTGGCCTTGCTCACACACTGTTTGCATTTGACTGTGCATAACACATGTAAACCTGGGATCACCAATTAAGATACGAAAAACCAATATATTTGGAGTAAGTGGATCAAATTCTTGTTACGGTAAACACATTTTTCAACATGGAGGTTGCATGTTCCCTCCTCTGGTTTCCCTACCACGAAAAACAGGTCTGAATGTAATGAGTGAGTGAATGGATGGTAATGGTCGGATACTTTGATATACTAGAGGTTCGATGTCTTGCCTTAGTCATCATTATATGTGACATGGGAATCTCTGGTACACCACAATATGTGAAATGCGCTATATAAATAAAAATAGTTTACTTACTATTTTGAATGAATGAATGAAGCTTTTATTACAGACTCTGGGTCCAACATTTTCTCTTCACGTTCCAATATGTTTTGTTCATACTCTGGACATAAAAGCAAACATTGCCAACACACTAATATTTATTGTAGGTTTTCCCACAAATTAGACAAGATTAACTAACGGCTTACAGCTCATCAAAACGAAATGCGTACTGAACTGATTGTGTGCAAGGATATAATACAGTCTGAAAGTTTCTGAATCTCACACTACAATAAAAGTAAAGCCACCCCATGCACTCCATAATAAAAAAAAAAATCCATTGGACAGCATTGAATTAAAATATTTTATGGATAAACATACACTTACTATAAAAGACAATTCTGCATCTCTCAATCATGATATGATGTTCAGCAATAGTTCAGCAACAAAAGCATTGACACAAGAGCAGCAAAGACTGTCATTGGTTTAAGGTAAGCCTCGGGAGAAGGGAGGGAGCAGGAAGGAGGGGAAAATGCTGGTATGGATCTTTTCAAGTCACAGCATACGTTTATTTACACATGCATGACTCAAACACACATGCACTTGTGTCTCTCACTGTGTGCCGAGACCCGGAGGTCCGTGTGAGAAGCCCTACAATTCTTTACATAAGGCACTGATTTGAAATAACATTATGGTTAGAAAATCCTAAACAGAAACGCCCTCTCAATAATAACATGCATTCCAAAGAAAGAAATTCTATCAATCTAGAACTGAGGTTAAGAATGAATCTGAAAACAAAAATGTACAATTCATATTAGAGAAATTATGAATGATTTCGTGTTGTGTAATATAATGTTACATCTTGTGAATATAATAAGTTAAATAAAGACTGATCTTCATGCAAAGCCATGAACAGAACATGACTTGTCGTAAGGCATTAAGCAACTCCAGTTGTACTTGAAAATCGTTGTTATCCTAAATGTGCAAAGGGTCACTCAGAGGTGCCCAAACTTATTCCATGAAGGGCTGCACATTGAAATCTAGAGCCGCACTGTGAATAGATCCAGCAGGTGCTTGAAAAACGGTGTTCAGTATTGTATTACATCATTGGTCGACCGATAATCATTTCATCACAGTAACATTTTCTCTGAGGGTCAAATAATTTAGTGTGAGGGGCCCACGTTCTCCCCATTCCAGTTTCGACACCCCTGGGTTAAAAAGAGTAATTGCATGCTTCACTTATTTTATAAATAGCTGGAATTTTGGAATAGTGTTTATGTCCATTTGCTGATTCCAGTAAAGCTGGTTGTGCTCGGGAAAAGGGATGAGTCCAAGTGATTCCAGAAGATTCCACATTGTGATTCCAAAATGTCAGGAACATTACTGATAGTAATCCTGCAAGTTGTGCATGAAGGTCATGGTGGAAAGGCTGGTGGCCGAGTACACAACGTCATCATAGAGTTGTGGGCTGACCTCTCCCTAGATAAAACACAATATAAAAGTCAGAACTGGGCTCATTTCTTTACACACATTCAGATCAAGTTCAGATTCATTCAGATTAATTTTATTTGCAGTAAAACCCAATTGGAATACAGTGGACACACACCCACGCTCGCATACACGCACACACACCTGCTATGACTTCGAACAGAATCCCACATGTGATTAAAGAAGAAATATTTAGCATTTTTGTTGGCCATTACAAACGATAATGAGACTTACTTTGTCATTTCATGTGTTAGAATGTGCAAAAAAAATCTTCAGTAGAAAAACTTGGCAAAACAAGTTTGACGGGTAAATAATCCTATCAGCCTGTATCTTTTTGCTATCTAAAACAACTTCGGGTTTTTGATGAGGGAATTTCTTTTGTAAAATAATATAAAAAGTTGATTTTGCTTAACAACATGTCTGGTTTTAGTCAAATGGAGCAAGATGCAGCAATAATCCATGCATGCAGACGTTTTCTCACCTCGAGAAGCGATGTAGCACTCGTGACAACTGAGGCTTCCATTACGGATCCGGACGTCTGTGCCTGCAGTGGTATTCCCCAGCTGCCCATCGCAGACCCCACACTGAAAACACACATGTTAGCATGAATAGAGAGTAGAATCTCATTGGGAATATGGGAAAGCTTAGGTCCAGTCTGAGATTCAGGCTCACACAGGTAAAACTAGAAAATATTTGTTTTGCTCATGGGTACTTTCTGTTTTAGTCTGCGTGTATGTGCATGTGTGTATGAACATCTATGGACAAAAAATTTCACCGGTTGACAAAAACATGAATAGAAATATTATCAATAAATAAAAAATAGATAAAAACATGAACATTATTACATATACATTATGTGCAGGTTTTTCTTCATTTTACATATTGTGTATGAGTTTGTCACATATATAATAGTAGTTTAACATTCTATCTATTCGTTATCCATTCGGGCGGCACAGTGGCTGAGTGGATAGCACTCTCGCTTCTCAGCAAAAAGGTCCTGGGTTTGAATCCCAGTCGGAACAGGGCCTTTCTGAGTGGAGTTTGCACGTTCTCCCTGTGTCTGCGTAGGTTTCCTCCGGGTGCTCCGGTTTCCCCTAACACTAAAAACATGCACAATAGGTATGAAAGTATAAGAGAGTGAATGGTGTTGATTGGGGACTGATGGTCCAGTGTGTTCGGTGACTCGCTTCCGTGTCATTTCATTGCTTTGCTTTGAATGATCATTCCACCGTGTGTGGAATGATTGGAACAATATCTGAACTCTGAACATTGTAAAGCGCTTTGGGTGACCTTGGTCTGTAAAATGCGCTATATAAACAAACATTACTTAATTACTTACATTCTAAGTTGAATTCCAGAAGTAAATACACTTTTGAACAATTGTCTTAGTTTCACCTTCATGCCCCCTATTGCCCTGCGCTCATGATCAGACTGGACCCCAGGCTACACTTACAGCACTCAGATTCCCAACTGTTTAATTGGGAAACACTTAAAAAGCATATATGTACAGTATATATATACATACATCATGTCATAAATGTTATCTGTTGTCCCTGTGTACCTTAAAGCACTGCATATGGAAAAACAGTCCAAGCGTGTCAATAATCATGGCAGCTCCTTTTCCCAGAGGCTGAGAACAACCCGAACAAAGTCTTTTGCCACTCACACATCTAAAACAAACAGGAAATAAATAAACAGTTAAGGTGCATGTGTCTTCATCTGTGAGTAGTTTACCTGCTTGGTGATGGGGGATGGGCTGGTGGATGAGACTGCTGACGCCCTACGGCTGTGTCATGTGATCCGGACCTGACAGTACAATCAGCTTCAGCATGTTGTAAATATCAGCAGATCGGACAAACACATTTACCTCTTCACGTTCAGAGGCTGCTTGGGTTGAGGGCAGTAGTCCAGAGATTCTGTCTTCACAAGCTCTTGTTTTCTGGAGGCTTCTACATCACATGTCGTGTCTATAGAGAATTGTAGTCGTTAAAAAAATATTAAAATATTGAGTTGTAGCAAAACTTTAGGGTTGCACCATCAATAAAACGTATAACATTGTAATTTTAGCAGCCATTTTGTTGTCATTTTAGTAGGCAATTGCAAAGACAGCAATTACTTAATGACATTATTAGTATTAGATAGCAATATGGCCTACGTGCAGGACTGTACAAGGACTCTACAAGGACTCCATGTTATGACTATGTGACTGTCTCTTTGTGACACGTATGTCTTTCGATGTGTGACGTGACAATGACTATATAAACTGTGTACTGCCTTTATTCTGTCTGAGGAAAAGAAACAGAGTAAACCAGTGGAACTTGAGAGCAACGTAAATAAACTTCCAGAGTTTGGCACACCACGATCCGTCTCTGTCTGCCTAAATCCTTACAGATTTGGTGGAGAATGCGCGGCTCGGTTTGTGCCATTCTCTGGATTGTTTTGAGGGAGTTTTGCTCAGTTTCTTTTCCTCTGCGTGAGAGATCGGCATGCTGTGTCTGGGAGCGGAGATTCCAGCAGGCTGGAAGAGCTGTTCCTGGATGCTTCTTGTCGCTTCTGTCACTTTTGTTTTTTTAAATTGAATATTCCGACGCGGAAAAGAGTTGGCAGACCTCTCGGACAGTCCTTGGAACCGGTTTGACAAGAATAAGGTAAGCAGACACCTTTTTTAATATGTAAAGTCTGCATAATTGGATATTAGCTAAATTTTGGTGTGTTTTTTGGGGTCTGTCAAACTCTCTAAATTGTATTTTGAAGAAGTCTCGGGGTTAAAGTCCCTTTGAGCCTCGGGGTTAAAGTCCCTTTGAGAAAGTCTCGGGGTTAAAGTCCCTTTGAGCCTCGGGGTTAAAGTCCCTTTGAGAAAGTCTCGGGGTTAAAGTCCCTTTGAGAAAAGCCTCGGGGTTAAAGTCCCTTTGAGAAGAAGCTTCAGGGTTAAAGTCCCTTTGAGAGAAACCATGGTGAATCAAAAGTAATTATAAAAAGGGAAACGTTAAACACTAAAGAGTGCCTTTTGTTACTAGTGTGGAAAGTGATCACTTCTAGATTTGGATGACAAAAGTATAAAGAACAACATCAGTTATATTCGCTTAACAAAGTAATCTTGAAAGTTATTCTTCTGTATCTTTTTGCCTGTGTGTGTGCACATCTCTATCTTGCTGCCGTTGTCAGGGAAACGGCCCCCTCCTTCGCTGCTCTGGCTGTGAATCTGAAGCAAAGCTACTGCTTTAGGAATTTGGCTTTTCATAGTTTTTATTCCGTTAAATTTGCGAAAATTGCCATTTGAACATTGTGTTAGACACAGTTAAACGTTTTTAAACACCATTTAGTAAAAAGAAGTTTTGAATTAGTATGTTTTTGAAACCCAAAGATTAGTACAAAAAGCTTTGCTTTTCTTTTTAAATCTGCTGCTTATTTTGTGAGTCCATTATTGTATCTCTGATATATTTCATAGCTGTTTGTGAGAATTTTTTCATGTATTTTTTATTTTAGTTACAAAAGCCGTTTTTCAAACATTTAAATTAGAATCTGTTAAAAGTGATTATTGATTATAGACTTTGTCTAAAAAGAAAGAGGGAATTAGGCTGTAAAAGTATTATATTATTAAGTTAAACTACCCAATTCACCCAATTCACATTCAAGTGGTGACTTTTGTTTTTGTTTTGACTATGCACCTGACCTTCCTCCTGCTGCAGATGCACGCAGCACAGGAGACTGGTCTAAAATGTGCTCCAATTCATACTGACTTCATTTGAAAAATGCTGCAATTATTTTAAATTAGTAGAATAGATGCTGAGATAAATAAGTGTAAAAGGGAAAGTCCATAAAGTGAAACCCAAGATGTTCAAGATTAAAAACATCACACAGTACAAAAGTATATAATACATGTTTTAAAGTTTAAAAGGTTGTTTGTTTTGAGTATAATTGTTGTTTTGATAACTTCTTTAGTTTCTGGTTTAAAAATGTCATCATTAGTAAGAGAATAAGTAATCTTTATTTACATAGCGCTTGGGAAAGCCAAGAGCGCTCAAATTGTTTTGACTTCAGAGAGAAAAACAATCTCATTCGCATACTGATATCTATTGTTTTTTTAAATTGGCTGTTTCAAGGATTGTTTTTCAGACTCTGGCACACTGTGGGAGGGGTCACTGCTGGACACTGGACAGCGCAACGCCCACCCAGCCACAGGTCACAGATCAAAGAGCAAAGGAAAATGCCACCTCCTTGCCCCTCCCCACGCCACTGCAGAACTGAGTGGGTGTGAGAGAGACCGGGGCCATGAAAGAGAGGTATCTGGAGACGTGATGGGTGGAGCGTCAGGTAGAGACCTAGAGGGAGTTGAAAGTGTGTCCAGTTGGTTTACATCACCACAGTGTGACCTTTGAGACCTACAGGTGGTTCGTGGAGTCTGGAGAGACAACCCCAAAATTCATACACACACACACACACACACACATACACACTCATACACTCACACATTCACATTTACATATAGATACATGAAAAAGCAGAACATGAGAAAAAAGCATTTTAAAAGTTTACTCCAATGTAAACACATATTTTTAATTGTCTATCACTTGAATCAGTATTTTTTGAGACCAGAAATGTTCATTTGAATTCTATATTGTCATGGACTTAATTGACCTCTGTCCTGACACTTTTGATTTGTTGATTTTGTACTGTGTGAAGTAATTACATTGATTAGAATTAGATCTGATAAAAACACAAATTAGAGAAGTAAACTGCGCTTGCTTTTGTCTAAGGGACATTAGCAACAGCATGAATAGAAATTGTGTTAAAGTAGAATCAAAGTGATTTAACCATAGAGAGTAACTACTGCATTACAAGCTGTGTACAGGAACTGAGACACTGCACCATTGACCAGAAGTGCATCGCAAATGACCTGATGTGCTTCAAGTGAAAAGACTGTATCTGGAGATCTGATGTCCAACTGGAGAGACCAAAACCATGGCTTGGACCCTACTGATGTCCAAGATGACCTGACCTGATGACGACTGAGACTCACCCTCAGGGGACCCTGAGGACCTGAGGACCTGAGGACCTTGGAGAGAAAAACTGGGGAGTGATGTTTATATTTTTGAAATCATACATAGATGAGTGCTAAATGAGACAGATACTCATGATTCTTTCTTTTGTTTTTGTTTGTCCCTAGCTTCTGGACATCTGATGATCTATTGGACACAGCCATTTGCAGAACAAGAACCAGCCAATGAAAATCGTCTATTGCTGATGCTTTTGCTACAACCAGAACCTGTGACCAAATGCAATATACATGTTAAGTATTCAGACATCTGACAGACAAAAACTTTGAAAATGATAAAGTATAAGTATTGTAGCGTTTTAGTAGATGTTAAATAGTAGTAAAAAAGTAGAATTGTCCTTTCTTTGTTTTTCATAAACATATTTCCACGTAAGAGTTAAAATAGTACCCTACAATGTTATCCTTTTGATAGAGCAGCTAAAATATTAGAATCAGAGTTATGTTACAGCCATTAAAAGTGACAGAAGTCACAAGCTAGAAATATGCCTTTGCTCAAACTGCAGCCAAACTTCAGAGTAACAATAGTGTAAAAATAGAATTAGATAAATGCATCAACCATAGATGCTTTCAAAAATAGAGATTATTTGTAGCCAGTGCTAATATCAAATGGTAAAGGGACCATTTCACAAGCATTTACTTCAAAAGTAGATAAAGTTAATTACAGTTTATGTACAGTTTTATTAGATACTTGCCAAATTCACTTGTTTTCAAACATGAGTGAATGTTGACAATACAAAAAGTCCATATGAGTGTAGTCTAGATTAATGCCTAGATTAATGAGATAGATTAGAACCAACAGAGATTCAAAAGCATTTAAAAGCATTTTGATGTATTTGTGTATAGCACAAAAACAAAATAGTAGATATTTGGATATCTTTGAGAAGTTTCCAGCACAAACACCATTGTAGAATAACTGACCCCAACCCCAAACCTGCTCAAATAGATTAGCTCTTATAAAAAGTAATAAATCACTGACCACTATAGAAGTGTAAATGTTGACCATTTGCCTTACTGTGTTCACAGTTTTATTCCTGAGAATGAGAATAGACATGGAGCAAAATCCCACTGATAATATGCCACTGATAATGAGAGTGTAAAACTAAAGAGAGATTTATTAGATTAAAATGTATGTTTAAGAATAAGGCTCAATAGAAGCAAATATGCAAACATATTTGTGAATAGATTAGAATAGTTTTAAACTATAGTGAATAGTGAGAGTAAAGTACACAGTATAAGATTGATAAGTGAAAATAATACAGTGAAATAAGTGGAGTGTAGTGTAAACAATTAGCATTAGAATAAAAGTAGAGTAATAAAAGTGAAATTAGCTTCAAATTTGAGACTCAGCTCGTTTTTGTCTGTGTTTTGACTGAATCTGCTGAGTTCTTGTGTGTCCAATAGTGTTTGTTTGTTTTTATTTTTGTTTGTTTTTATTTTTGATTTGTTTTTGTTTGTTTTGTTTTTTGTTTTTTTCCCAGGATAGAGGATAAAATCCACTGATATTGATTTGATGATTATGAGTTTAATGCATACATTTTCTTTGTTTTTAATAATTTTTTGAAGTTTTTTTTGGAATTTTATTTTATTTTTTTTTTTTTTTTTTTTTTTTATTTTTCCACTTTATTGATTGATCGATTTGAGTGATCACATGTGATTATGTGATCAAAGGGGAGGGTATTAGTATTAGATAGCAATATGGCCTACGTGCAGGACTGTACAAGGACTCTACAAGGACTCCATGTTATGACTATGATGTGACTGTCTCTTTGTGACACGTATGTCTTTCGATGTGTGACGTGACAATGACTATATAAACTGTGTACTGCCTTTATTCTGTCTGAGGAAAAGAAACAGAGGAAACCAGTGGAACTTGAGAGAAACGTAAATAAACTTCCAGAGTTTGGCACACCACGATCCGTCTCTGTCTGCTAAATCCTAACAACATCATACACTTACATTACTTTTACAAACAGAAAATGATTTTGTTGCACATTACATACATATGGCTTCGAAATACAAGGATCACTACAAAAAAATCACTACAAAATAGGCTAATAATTATTGGATATTTTTATCTGCTAGCAAAGGTTTGATTTTTTTAGTGAGATCTTGCTTGTCATTTAGCTTCAATTGTATTTGATTTAGAAAATAATACTTATTTTTGACCATATGACTCCGTAGTATCATCTATGTTAAGTATTTCCATGATAAAAATATTTAAAACGGTCCCTCTCCTTGGTATAGGCATCACCAGTAAAGCCCACCTTGGAAGAAGTGTAGTTTTGAGGCGTGCTGGCCCTCGCTCCCTAAGGAGGCTTTGTGGCCGTTGTGTTGTGGGGGAACGGAGCCGCTCTTGGCCCTGGCTGCTTCTGTGGGCGATACTGCTCTGGTCTGTGGAGGGGGCGGGCTCAGGACCGCAGTGGGATTGAGCGGAGACACCGTTTCCTCCAGAATGCGTCTCTCCTAGACATAGGGCAAACAAAATGCAGAACATGACATAACGTTAAAAAGGATTATCAAAAAAAATTATATTGTGTAATTTTTTTCAACACTGGCTAGATGGGTTCTTTGCCATACTGTAGGTCAAAAGTAGATGGGATTATATAGAATACTGTTATGTTAGTACTGCTACATCTAAGGTCAAATGTATTATAATCTGATTTAGAAATACTGAAGGAGTTTTATTTACAAAAAACACGATCAAATATTTGGTAACATTTCATTCCAGCTCAACAAGTCAAAAAAATTTCTTTTTTTATGACACTGCCAAAAGCATGTACCAATATTGGATCAAGATGGCGCTGCGTACGGTCGCCACGGCTCTTCTGTGCTCTTTTTTCTCTTTCAAAAAACTTTTTAATAGTGTCTCTGCCTGCTCCTATACCCGTGAGGAGCTTTTGAACTCTGCTTTAACTTGTTTGCACCGAGAGCCAAAGCAACTTCCTAGTTTGTGACTTCCTGTTACTCACATGGCAATAAAAGGATTCTGATTCTGATATGTCACTGGACTTGCATCTCCATAAACCCAACTCATAATTGTGCTTTTTATTTCCACAGAAGTGTTTTCCTTTGGCTTTTCAATATATATGATATTTACCTGCATAGAGGTATTTTCTACTTCCAGAGAAAGACATACACGGTTGCTTTAACATGAGCCATACAGATGTTTTTTTTTTATTGATGACAATTATAAAAGTGATTTAGCCTTAAATGTTACATAAAGACGTGTGAAAGTGTTTTTCACCTCTTCGTTGTGTTTCCTCTCTTCTTCCTCCACCTCCAGCTGCGCTCGCTCCCACTCCTGCTTCAGCTTCTCCTGCTCCTTCTCATACTGCTCCTGGAGACAAAGGCGTCACATCAGCCCACCGCACACACCACAACCACGGACACAAAGGGACAAAGTAACACACAAAGGGACAGGTTGAAAATGTAGGGGAGAAGAAAGTACTAATACTCTTAAATAAAGGATAAAGGTAGAGACAGTCAAACAGACCTGGAGAAAAACTATATGAGAGTTCCCCCATAAAGTGGTTTAAGATCAAAGTTAAGATAAAACTTCAACTTGGATTAAACCCTTATATTTTACAGAGCTCCTAAATGCTCCAGAATATTGTACTGTAATTGTTTACCTTTTTTGAGAATTTTAGGAGCTCTGTACAATTTAAAACTACTAGGATAAGTATATAAATAAATAAGAAATTAAATAATAAATGTAAATCTAAATCCTTAATAGGTTCATTACTTTCACCTCGGTAAGTGATGCTTATACTTGAGTATTTGGTTTGCTCCTCTATCACTATTGCAAAAAAAGACACAAACAAAAAACAAAGAAATTATGGAATCACCCTTGTCTATTGTCAGGTTACAGTATCTGTTATTTATTTTGTCCAGATCGTAGCAAATATTATATACGCCAACAGATTTAAGTTATTTATTTTAGCTTTCTTATTATAATGACAGCTATATCTTGTTGCTCCACTTCACGGTGCCTCCATCATGGGAAAATAAATGTTCTCTTTTTTTAAAATCAATCTTAACAAAATGCAGTATTTTTCCCACTTTGGTCCTAGGACATGTCACACGTGTCCTCTTTGTACCTGTAGGAGGCGCTCTTGCTCCTGTTGCCACCTCTCCAGTCTCTTGCGCTCCTCATTGGGGTCCCACACCCAGTGATTTACACGCTTAGCCAAGTTCAACATGGGGGTCTCAGTCTATCCACGCAATCCAATTATAACACACACACACACACACAAACGCACAAGTTGGCAGTGGGAAAGGACAGAAAAGAAAGGAAAGGTGAGAGGACAAGTTTGACCACAGCTCGGGACACAGGATCAGGACAGAGTCAAGGAGCGTTCACGTGTGAAGATACGGGTTACTTCAGCTTTCAGAATAAAATACTGAAAAATGCAGCGAAAGACACAAATGTTTGGTTTATATGTTGTTCAAATTGTCTCCAATTAGCTTGACTATCAACAAAGAGTCAATCATACTAATATAAGGTTTTAAAGCTGTGTTTATTCTATTAAGTTGATTAATAACCCATTAGTTAAGATTATGTTTGACATTGTTTCCAACGCAGAAGTAGATTTTACTGCCATATTAATCCTTACGATACTGAAATAAATTGTGTCTTTTGGGTGGATGATAATACACATTCTGATTATCCAGTGAAAATAATATTGTTTCATATCATATTATTTCTTTTGATTCAAGTATTTACAGTGTAACAAGAAAAAGGGTATATTTTTTAAACTTTAATTTCAAGTGTGATTTTGCTTGTAACAAAAATGAACCTATTATCTAAAATGCTGTGACATCACGTTAACGCAGCTTTAATGCAGAGTGAAGGAGGACGGAAAAACAATCACAAATCCAGGGTACGTACGGATACGCTGCCGTCTTCCATTCCGTCTGTGAGGAAAGAGAGAATTTCATCAATAAAATCCAGTGAAATGCAGCCTGGAGAAAGAGTTGTGACATAAACAGCAGTGATCAGCAAAGAAGAGGTGGAGGTTTACCGGTGGTGCTGGGGTAGAAGTCTGAGACGCTGTTTATAGGGGACGGTAAAACAGGACTCCTCTGTTCGTCCACCGTCTCCTGAGGGACAGCTGATGTACCATTTACCTGAAAATAAAATAAAACATTGATTACAGCCATTATTTCAATAAAAACAAATTCATTACAAAAAAGGCAGGATTCTCGTGAATGTATTGAGTAAAAGAAAGCATTGTTTAACTCCAGTCTTCCAACCGTGTACCAGGGTTATTGAGTTATTTCTACTGTATATTGGAGATTGACATGCACACATGTGTCTGTGTCCCTTGGCTGGCCTCAGGATTCCCCCAGATGAGCTGGAAGAAGTGTGTGTGTGTGCGTGTGGATAGGGAAGTCTGGGTGTCCCTGCTTAGTCTGCAGCCCACTTCACCGCAGCACTGGATAAAGCAGAAGAAAAGATATGGATGGATTGATCATGTCATTTTCTCTTGCCTCTGAGGCCTTTGCACAAGGTCTCCAAAGGTTTGTCCATTTAAACAGTCATTTGAGATTTGTGTGTTTTTTTTTTTGACTCTTTGGTCCGAATTACAACATGATTACTAATTTTATCTCAAATACTACAGTATGTGCAATTTGGTGTCAATGCAAAAGATAAAACATAGAGTATACCCGTAAGAGTCCCAGTGTGTCAGTTAAAACCACAAAACAAACAAATTAAATGAGAGTTACGGACACATTTTATGTAAGCATCTTAATTTATATAGTGCTTTTCACAGACTCTCCATTCCAGCTGACATAGTTCTCGAAGGGCTCTGCTGCCAAGTTGTAAAATTGCTGTGAAATTAACAAGCTCTGTGCTTGTGAAATGTATTTGTTACAAGGCTCTAAAAGAATTCCAAAGTCAGTAGACACAATCGATCAAAGCCACCCACACTTACTCCCACTCTGGCTTTACATAACACATATTCTCTGCTGTTGAAGGCTTGTTGTATTAAGAAAAATATATACAACAAAAACAAAGCTATGTTTAAAACTGTTGTGTTGTGTAATGTTGTTTTAAGATTTTAGATTTCAACCCACATTTACGCTAATGTTGCCCTTATCAATTTTAACAAAGACGGCAGGAGTGCCTTTGCCATAGTCCCCCACTGTGGCACCAGCGGGGCGGTCACCCATGGAGGTATCAGTGGCTGACTTGCAAGATTTCTGAGATCTGACAAGATAAGTGCAATAATGACTAATACTATACTATAGTAAGGAAATTGTTGAGTAGATGTAGACCAGCTGAAGACCAGCTGAAGACCAGCACTATCCGGACTGGTTTTTCCGGACCCTAGTTGTCCTATGTATTTCCTGTTTGTTAATAGCTCATCTTTTACATTTTGGTTATTTCATATTTATTTTTATTTTAATATTATGTGGGATCATGTTTTGACCAAAGTATAAGTTAATCGTTACATTTCCCTGCACAAAATGCTTTGACTGAACTTGTCATTGAAAACTGATAGACCAAGAATTATCACTCATTATGTCTGTAGTTCAATATCTTGGGAAAAGAATTGCTTTGAAATGATATGTAACCTGCCATGGTGTATAAACCTCTTCCTATCAGTATATAACCTATCAGTGCTCACACCTGTCCGTTAGTGCGCTGCTCCGGCGTGACCGACTCCACGTGTGTGAGCTCCGTGACGATGGTAGTGGTGATGACACAGTTCCTGCCCCCGATCAGAGAGCTGATGGCCGAGCTGGTGGCAGACGTGGGCCTCTCTGTGTGCGGTGGAGGGGGAGGCTGCGAAGGTTTGAAGGGCGCCAGTGTCTCCGCAGTAGGTTCTCGTGGGGGTGGCTCTTTGCTGGGCTTCAGGATGGAGGCAGGTGAGGCGGGTGTGCCTTTGCCCCCCACCGGAGAGCGCATGGGGGAGGCAGGTGAGGCGGGTGATATGGGTGTGCCTTTGTCCACCACTGGAGGGCGCATGGGGGAGGCGGGTGAGGTGGGTGTGCCTTTACCCCCCACCGAAGAGCGCATGGGGGAGGCGGGTGATGTGGGTGTGCATTTTTCCACCATTGGAGAGCGAATGGGGGAGGCGGGTGATGTGGGTGGGCCTCTGCCCCCCACCGGAGAACGAATGGGGGAGGCGGGGGAGGTGAGTGTGTCTTTGCCCCCCACTGGAGAGCGCATGGGGGAGGCAGGTGAGGTGGGTGTGCCTTTACTCCCCATTGGAGAGTTTAGTGGGGAGAGTGGAGGGGTGTGGGCTGAGGAGGCTTCGGATGCGTCGCCGTTGACTCTCACAAGCCCATCCATCTGAGGATAAGATTAAGATTAAGATTTAGAGATTCATTATTCGTCCCACAGTGGGGAAATTTCAGTGTTGCATCACAAGTTATAGAATAGTAGGAAAGAGGAGCATAAATAAAAACTTACTCTAGCATCAAAGAAACAAGTATACATCTATCTTTAACAGAGTAAAGAAGTATAAAATCTCTAAATTTGGCAAAATAAGATAAGATAAAATGAAATATGAAAAAAGAGGGCTTTGTGGGGGAAATTAGGGAAAAACATGTGCTCCAAAAATAACTAATATCTTTTATATCATTTTGTAATTAAGATAGCCCCAAACTTAAGGAGGACAAACTGTTGAGAATCGGGATGACTAGTTCTAATTCAAAATGTCAAAGAATGTATAAGTTGTTATTAATGTATTACTAATAGAAATAAATTATATCTGAAATTTGAGAGAGCAATGCCTTCTTTGAGTGTGTGATAGATTTTTTTTTTCCATGGCTCTGCACCTCAGCACTAGAGTATTTTTTTTGCTTAATAAGCTTCTTTTTGGCATAACTCGTTTCTACACCAGGTGGCAGTATTTCACACATTTATCAACGCATTATGATACAAGTCAATAAAAACAATCTAATAAAAGATGTATTTGTATGTATTTGAACTAGTAACAGTCCTTTTTAAAAGTAAGTATAGTCTACAAAAACTACAAAATAAATGAAAATTAAAGTACTTGTTTCTTGTATACCAGACAACAGTAAGTAAGTGATGTTATTACCTTGACTTCCTCTACTAGGAAGACAAGATGAATTCTCCTAAATGATTAAATGAAAATAGTGTATGACAAACCTTGAACGACTTATGCCCAGACTGTGCGCTCCAGGGTTTGGCTGTGAGCAGGGGCACCGGTCGGGACGGGGGGGAGGGCAGCAGCGGGTGTATGGGGGGGTGCTGCACCGTTAAAGGGCCCGAAGAAACGTTGACCTGCGACTGTAAAAGCCGTGGTTTAATCGCTGGTTGCTCCGAGGACACTGGCGGCACATGTTCTGGGGTCTTCACCGGACTGAGGGGCGGAGTGGGCATGGACGAGATGTCGAGACTATTTTCCGGTGCGTTTTCTGGTTGTGCGTAGTCTGTTTTGATTATAGTTTGGTGCTGCTCTGCTGCTACTGAGTCTTTCGCAGTTGATGAGGGCTTCAGCTCTGGCTCTACATTGGGGGCGGAGACCACGGCCCGGGGCACTTTCAGACTGTCCAGTGTGGCGTCGCTGATGGTAAACCTCAGCGCGTATCTCTGCAGAACCAGAGCCGCCTCCTCTGGGGTGGCGGCGTTCTTGTAGGCCTCACACAGCTCCACCTCTCTGCGCTCCCTTTGGAAACACAAATAAATGTTCAGTGTTCAGAGCTTGCATCATTCATGTCCTCAAAAACAAACTTCGGTTTGATAGATTAATTTGTGATAAAGTTTGCTTCAAACTCTTTGTATGATTTGGAATTTAAAAAACTCCTATATGGGGAAATCAACTTTCGGAAATCTAAACCTTTTTCAATAAAATAGTTTTTTCATGTTACCTTTTGACCAATTTTCAAAGCATTTATTGCGACGGTGCTCTAAAAAAAGTTAGATGTTTCTTCAAAACAGATCGGTCCTAGTGAGAAGTCTTGTTTTTAACTGTTTGTTTTAACATGTTGAACTCTTTTAATAGCAGCAAAATGAGATAATATATATGTTTATATAGACATTAATTTTTTGTATCTAATAACCTGCTAAACCTCAAAAAAATATTCCAGGATTATACTGTTTTCTGTTCATGCACTGACACTGACAGAACTCTTGACATAAATAGACTTTTCATTCACTATATTGAAATAAAGTAATTGTAAACTACATAAATTATTTTGACTGATGCGACAAAATGCACTTTTAAAAATAATTTTTAAGTTCTCTGCTCCATCCAATTTGTAAAACCCAAATGTAACAGGTGACTTAAAACTGCTGCTGCTGCTGCGTGGTGCGAGTAAAAGCCAAAGCCTCACTTTTCCTCAATGATCTCTTTGTAAGTTTTGATGCTTTTCCGTTTGTCACTTTCGTCTTTCATCTTTTTCTCGATCATCTTCCTCTCCTCCTCTTTCTTGATCAGGTCCTGAGATGCACTGCGCCTTCGGTTCTTCCAGCGAGCCAAGTCCTGGGAAGAGAACAGAATAAATACATGAGAACATTCGTGGTCAAAATGCTTCAGTGTATTCTGTTTCGGTTTGATCTGTTTTTCATCATGGCATTTAGGGCTAATGTTATGTCACCTTGGCTCATTGCCTTCCCATGACTGTACTGCAAAGGTTTCATAGTGATGAAGAATAATTACTGCTGTCATATAAATTATAAAATATTTGGAGATACCATAGATTCTAGAACATAGAAGAGTTGGCCTAACTAGAGATGATGTCAGCCTGAAACAGGCTCCATGTGCGGTAATTTGGAGCAACATTTTCTCATAGCAACTACCTAGCAACCAAAGAGCCAATCAGGAGTGGGACTAGTCTGTTCCAACCACATTACTTCTTGGCTGAAGCCAGGATAGTCATTATCAAGATGAAATAGAGCATTAAAGCTGAGGTACCTAACATAAGCCAATAATAATCATCATAATACAACAGAAATAAAATCGTGGAAGAAAAATTTTTTGAACAAAGTTTATTAGAAAAATTCTATGTGTTGCATATTTGTATGATTAAAACCCTATAAGTCACTAGTTGACTCTTTGGGCTGAGAGCTGAGTAAAGGATTGTCATTATTTTTTTGGAGAGAAATATTTGACAGGGACCAAAGTGATAGACGAGTGATAGAACCGCATTTTTGAGAACGAGGAACTAGTTAAATAGATTTTATTAATTCAATGTTTGTGATTGGAAAATTCTGTACACCAGCTTTAAATGAGTGAAACAAACAGGGAGGTGTCAACTTTTCCTTGAAAGTGAATGGGAGCCAAAGCTCAACTTGTTTCCACCAATACACCCGTGATCTGTACACACACACACACACACACACACACACACACACACGATGTCACGTCTTACGTCCTGCCACTCGCTCTCGTCCTCCTTGAAGCTGGTGTACTGCTCCTGCATGCGCTCAGAGCGGGACGGGGTGATGTGTGGCAACTGTCCCACCTCGTCCTCGTTCAGGATGTCACTCATGCTGGCGCTCCTGCGGACACAGGACACCAGAGCCGTCATGCTTATGGAGCACATGGATTATTGGGACAGTTTTGGGTTAAGAAACGCAAAAAGAAATGATGCATTATTTAGGGATAAAGTGAAAATAGCATCACAGAAGAGAGGCAAGAAATGTTAGTTATGGGGCAGTAAGACGGCAAACTTCAGTCCAAGAAAAATGGGCTTTGGTGAATAAAACTGAAAAGAAATATAGTAGTTACTTATTTTTTTACGTAGCAAAAAAAGGTGATTTTAAAAGAGTTTTAACATTTTGTTAACCTTTTATTCCTCCAGATATATATGTTTTATATATATGCCATTATCTACTAGATAAGTAGATAATGTGTTAGAGTGTTTGGAAAAGGCCAATTAACTGTTTGGAGCAAATTATATCACACAACACAATATTCAGTTGTTATTTTTGCTTAGAACAAATGTAGCATTCTAACTTTATTCTTGTGAGTTTAATAACGATTAGTAAAACAGAGGGTACCATGTGGTCGTCATATACCCTCTACTTTAAAACCGTACCAGGGCAATTTTGCCTAATTTATCTCCTTTAAAATGTATGCGTCTCTCTTTTGCATTAGCAGAAAATAAAAGTGTGTTTGAAGTGTTCAAAAATGAGTGAAAGAAAAGCAGTTAAACAGAACATGGGAAGGAAAATAAGTTCTTTTCATGCACTTTTCTCCCAGATCAGATGACTTACTCTGTGTCCTCAGCTATAAAAGCAACTCGCCGACTCGTCCTACAACAACAATAGCACTGTGTTAATCAGGGCTGCAGGATGTAACAGGAACGGGTATTTTGCATATTATATTGTTTCAAAAGGAGATTTGCTAATTGTGAAAAGTGCATCCTATTTCAAACCCCTTTTAACATATAATGGTAATTTAAAGATTGAAGTGGGTAAAGAAAGAGGAGGTTACAGTTTCCAGAAAAAAAAATCTCCTTTCAAAATACCCATAGGAATTTTAACTGATTATAGTAATCATATTTTTCATGTTAACTTTTGACCAATTTTCAAAACATAAATTGCGACGTTGCTCTGAAAAATGTTAGGTATTTCCTCAAAACAGATCCGTCCTAATGAGAAAACAGAAAACACCAGAAGCAAAAATAACAAAATACAAAACAGCTCTTTTTATGAACACCTCTTCAGGGAATTCCATGTAAACATCACAAAAATTCATATGCTCCATTCACAAAAACACCTGTTCATGGAATATCCCTGGAAAAGGACCTAAATATATAATATAATTGTGTTGCAAGTTCTATAATATAACTAATACAGCTGTTTGATTATTTTACATAGCAGCGCAAAGATAGCAGATGAAGCCTCACATGATTGGAGGCAGCTCATCATCATCATCCTCCAGCCAGAAGGGTCTCTTTGGTGCTTGTGAGCCCAACTCCTGCACCCTCTCCTGGGCCGTGACTTTGCCCCGCTCCTCCCCCGCATTGGCACACTCCCGGGGGGCAGCGGGAGGGCTCACAGTGTACAAGCGTGAGGAGACAGTCTGGGAGCTATGTACTTCCTGGTCTAGAGCCAGTTTAACACAGTCCTTCTCCTCAGACTCGGGCCTTTCTCGCACCAGAGCACGCTCTTTCCTAGGTTGGAAGTCAAAGGACGGGATCTGAGTTTCCACGGCGACAGAAGCAACGCTGCTGAGGAGTCAATCACAAGGCCTGAGATTATAGCACAGCTGCACCATAGGAGAAGTCAGAACGCTGTTGTTGGCAAGCGTATGTTCATATTTCTAACTACTGAGAAATTAGTTATCGGTCATTAAAACGAAACATTATAAATTTTGAATGGGTAAAGTCCTCAAGATATTGCATCACACAAGAGGCGTGCATCTTGAATATCAAGTTCTGTTTATTAATGTACAGAATATGGCTGCATTATTTGTGAAGATTATAAAACTCACTATGAAAGCTAGCTTCAATTTACAAAATACACACGATTGCACAAATGGTCTAATCAAGTATAAATCATTGTTACAAAAAATTATATTTTCCGCTGTTTAATTTATAAATCAAATATTTTTGGTGGAACTGTTGTTTTAGTATTTATTTGCATTGAAATTATTTATTTTAGTGTTTACACTCGTTGCTAGATATATGTTAGATAATATTTTCCCTTGTTTTGAAAGAAAATAAAAAACATAATTGTGATCATAGTTATGACTAAAATAATGGTGATTATTCATTTTCTATCATTCATTGAGCAGCTTGAAACCTCTATTCTTGCAATAAACAAACTGAGAAATATCTGAGGTGAAATAACCCCATAATTTTGTTGTCCTTATTTTGAAGAAGCTTTAGTGACTATTATAAATATCCAAAGTCGATTACGATTAATTTAAGTCAACTCATAAGTATTTTAATGTACATAGAATAATTATGCAAATACAGTAACAGTATCACTATTAAATAATAAAGTCTACTGATTTTAAGTTTAGTATTTATTGTATGTTTTTTCTTCATATGGTGCAGCTTTGATTTCCTTAAAAGCCTCCATGCTCAATGTTGCACTAACAATCCAAGACATGCTTTGATCTCAAAGTCTGCAGCCATCAAACCACCACACTCCAGATCAACAAAATCACCATGGTAACAAACCCTTTAAAACAGAGACAGATGCTGATGCTGCGACCACTCAAACATGCTGTTGCATCAAGTTCACCACACTTTCATTAGCAATCCTCATACACAGGGTTTTTACAGACTGGTCATTTCTCCAAAACCACACACAAATGTTGACTACTTCTCATAATCAATGCTTTCTCTTCCAGTTCCAGTGCAGAACCAATGAGCCATGCAGTCCCATATAGATTTTTATTTATATATTTAAATTTTGTTTTTCAAATGCCACTTTTTAAATCTGCCCCAAAACCAACACAATTCCATAAAGCTGGGGTATGTAACTGTCAAACTTTCCTCTGATCAAAAGATGTTATGGTTTGGTAACATCTTTACATCAGCCTTTTCAGATCAAACACTGAAATAGAGGAGACCAGCCTCAGTCAGCCAATCAGCTCTTTGCCAAAAGCATGTTGTGGTCTGATTTGTTCACAACATCTGACTATTACAAGTCTTTTTCAGTTGGGACAAATAACATGGATTATTTGAGAGGGCAAAAGTTAGAATCAGAATCAGAATTTATTGCCATTGTGAGTAGTAGGAAAGTGACAAACTAGTAAATTGCTAGTAAGTAAAAATAGGCAAGCAAAGAAATATTAAAACATCTTCATAAAACATTTTCAAATTACTATATACTATTATATACAAGTGCACTAAGTACACACAAGAAACAGTTAGGTATCCCAGCATTACTTCTCCATGACTGTATGAACCCTGACTGTAATAACACAACAGCACACACACTTTTACCAATGTTAGTTTAAATGCACTGACACAAAACCTCCTCATGCCTGTGGTACCTTTCAACTGCTGCTTTGTCAACGCTTGTGGCTCGACTCTGTTTTGGAGCATTGCTGTTATACTTGACCGATCCGGGCACGGGCAAAAACCGGTTGGCATTGCTTCCGGTGGACTTTAGGCTTGCTCCGGTGCGTCGGGCCATCATGTCGTCCTTACAGAGGCTCTCCTCACTCTCCTGGCTCTCCTCTTCGTACGGAGAAGTCGTTTTGACCATTTCGACTGGTTGCAATATAGCGCTTTTGATTTGCTCGGTTCTAAAAGGAAATTTTGACTGAGCAAACTGGAGAATGTCTGTGGGTATCCTAATACAATAGTTATTTCAGTGGTGGTGGGTAGTTTTAGATTATTTATTTTTACCTCTACTTGGACTGAAAGTACTCTGATCTACTTAGGTTTAAAGTTCAAATATTATGCATAATTCAGGGATATTTTCCTTGAAACTATTCGCTTTGTCAATTAATGTTTTTGTTATGTGTATTTAGAATGTGAAATAATATCTTAAGCACAAAATATATGGTGAAAAACGTAACAAGGATAAATAATGTTATTGCTCCTGGCCCGTTATATCGCTATGCTAATGCGTAATGATAGATTACCAAAACTAATTTATGTGCAATACTTAAGTTTCAAAAGACAGAAAACTGAACATGATGTCATAGTAGTACAATGACATCATACTATTACAGGACTGAGACTGAGCTTTCAGACAGAAGGGCCAGAAGTTCCTGACATTAGCGTGAATGGATCTAAAAACAACTCCAGGTCTGTTTTTGATGAGATAATGTCAAGTTGCATAATACCAGAGGAACTGTGTCTAATTGTTACCGTAGGCCAAACATCAGCACAATTCTCAATACAAAATCAACAAGATACTTATCATACGTTAGGGATATGTTCAATGTTTTAGCCTTGTGTATGTCTTTTCCATAATTAAGTAAAGTGAGTGATTTTTCCATATTATTTTCCCACCTTGAGTGCTTGCCTCCGTCCGCTTCCTTTTTACTCCATGGGAAATGCTCAGTAGCATCTGGTGTGTTGTGCTTGGTTCCGGGCATTGGCAGAAACCTGCTGTGATAAACTTTAGTGGAGCTACTTTGTTTATGGAAAGCACGGGTCCGCCTCGCCATCATGTCATCCTTCTCCAGATCGGGGATTCTCTCCTCGTCTTCCTCCTCCTCCTCTTCTTCAGTTCTGCTCATGTACTGAGCGAGGCGGGCGTCCACCTCTGCGGGGGAAAGTCTGTCCTCAGGGGCCGAGGGGACTGGGGTCTGGTTCAGGTCGGGGATGTCTGACAGGCTGGGACAGCATAGGGCGGTATGTAAAGTTGAACAGCTGAGAACACACTGGGAGTATGTGTGCATGCAAAGCACCAGCAGCACATGCAAACCACGAGCAGCAGGAGGACGGAGCAAAATATTGTTTTTTTAAAAGGAAAACAGATGATCATGCTGTGTCAGATAGTCCAACTACTGGCTACAAGACTGAAGTTAATCAAATGGACCAGATGTCTCAACTTGTATTTCTAGATGTCTGTACTAGTAGTAATGGGCAACCTGTACTGGCCTACCGACAAGTAAACACGCTAATCAATTCATTTTAAATCACTCATCTATACCCCACATCTATAAGCGTACTACTAACAGATCAGAAAATCAATTTGTTAGTAGAAAGTAGTAAGCTTGTACTTGTGTTGTATATGGTCTATTAGTAAAATGGAAACAAAAACTCCTCAAATTTGCGTTTCTACACTGCAAGAATGAAATAAACTTAAAGGCACATTCTGTAGAATTTTACTATTTCAGATTTCAAACAACACTCCTGCACACCATTGTAGCAGCACATTTTTCCGTGACAGCGTGTCATCAACACATCATGATGAGCACATGCAGGCTCCACAGGACTTTGGGGGTTTTTCTCTCCCAGTGCAGCTCGTGGCAGAAAACTCAGAGAACATCAGTCCTGGTAGCGTATTTGGACAGATTCAGAAATCATACGTAGTGCACCTTTTAAACATGAAAACTCAACCACTTCTGTCATCCATTAAGTACAGATATGTGACGATGATAATGCAGCGTCACAGTTACAGCTCACATGCCTCTGACCTGGTTACAAGCTTCTCTGTATGATAGGCCAGGTCCCACACACAAACAGTTCCCCTCCAGCCACAAAACAATTCCACTATAATTCACTCATCCTATAATGTATAAGTTTTGGTCATTTTGCATGTTGAATTTCTAAATCAAATAAACTTCCATAAAATCTATTCCCTTTTGGTTGATCATCTATTCTTTTGTTATTACATTTTAATCTAAAAGTTCTTAAACAAATCAACCACTCATAATATTTGTATATACAGTATCATTATTATTTCTATTATTACATATGTATTATTATTTTTCCTCAAGATAATAAACAGGTAATAATAAACAGTTTATTATAGTAAACAGATAATGTCAGGGTCATGGTAAAAAACTACAGCAATGATACTTTGTCCTCAAACATTGATTGGAGGGGGACTTTTAGATGCAACAAAACAGCCTGCATTTCTTGCTCAGAAAGCGTTGGGTCCAGAGGCTTCCTAGCGCTGTCCGTACCTGTGTTCCCGCTCAGAGAGCCGGGAGCCAGGGCCTATAGTCGGCATGGGCACTGCCGCTGTGGGCAAAAGCCGCCTTAGCGCGTGGGTCTCCTCCCCTTCACTTGTGTCTACTGGCTGCTCCATCTCAGTCACAGCCCCAAAGGTCACCACTTTGCCATGACCCTTCCCGGCCTTTGAACGTCCGGTTTTCTCCAGACAAGCCTGGCACACTGGGCTCTCCTCACTGCATCTCACAAGACATACATATATGCACACCACACAGCAGTCAGACAGGGTGAAAGCAAAGAGACACAGTGAATGAAGAGATGACGAGACAAAAGATGTGGTTATATGAACTTCTGTTACACATTTACATGCCCATGCTTAGAAACTCCGAGGACAACTCTCTCTTTATCCACTCTCATGACATCAGCACGGAGAGAGATACAAAGGCTGACCAGTGCCAACAGCTGGCAGTAACCTCCCGTACAGACATGCCAGTTCCCTCATATGTTTTCAAAGGAAATTGGAAAGAGCTGAACAATAATGAGAGGTCCATAGGAATGATTAGAAAGACTGAAATGGGTGTGAATAGGACTGTTATGTTAGCTGCTATAGTCGTGGAAACGTTTGATATTATGATATTGTTAAAAAGTTGATTTATGTCTGTAATTCAGTTTTTACAGCCTAGGGCCATAATTATCAGCATTATAACAAATACAGGCTTGATACAACTCACTTTGTTTGTAATGAGTCAGTCATATATTAGTTGTATTACAGAAGTAAATGGACTTTTTAATGATTTTCATTTTTGTCCCCCCACGTTTTCTCTTGTATAATAAAAAATAACTCAGCCCAGATCCAGTCACACAGATCCAGTCCTTTAAAAAAAAAAAAAGTGAACGCTTCCTGAAATGTTGTCCAAATCCTATACTTTTTGCCTTACGCTGCTCACAGACAAATTTGCCTCCTGGGTAAGGTGCCAGAGTTTTTTTTCAGAAACAGACTAAAGGTGGAGCCCTGGACCCCTCTATTCAACAGTACTATCAATGCCAGAAATATATATATATATATTTTTTTTAGATGTAAGCCTGGAAAAAAAGCAATTTTTTAAGGTGATTTAAGGTAAAATAAGGGGCGAAAGTAGCTCAGTTGGTAGAGCATTGGCCTTTGGGCCTGAAGGTTGTGGGTTCAAACCCACCGTAAGACCTACTTCATGACTCCCACTGTTGACTGCTGTCATTGTGTCCTTGGGCAAGACACTTAACCCCACTTTGCCTGAAGCCCCCGCTGAAAGATCAAGGCTCCTATGGACTCACCACCTGCAGGAGGATCAGTGAGGAGCTGGTGCTATGTGTACTGGGTGCAGCCCCCCCCCCCCCCCCCCAGAGTCCCAGAAATGGATTAAGGGGAAGAAAATGGATGGATGGATTTAAGGTAAAATACATATTTTTTATAATATGACCCTGTAGTATCATCTAAGTATTTATTATAATAAATATATTTACAATTGTCCCTACTCTTTGGAATAAGCATCACCAGTAAGATTTGCAGGAGGAGAATAGTTGGTGTAGGGGCCTCAGCTGTCTATCAAGGATTTGAATTCATTAATTCAAACACAAACCGGCGAGGGCGAGTCTAATTGCCGCTTGTGTTAGAAAAATGTGTCTCCATAATTTGAAAAGTAACTGACCTTCGCTTTAAGTGTAAATAAAAGATTCTTAGAATATCCAGAACTAATTTTGGCCCTACTGTTTTAATAAAGGTTACAATTGTGTAGGGGAATAAAGGCTAACAACTTTCACTCGGATATTGAGTAATCTCTTACATAACAACATATATAGTCTCAACTTGTACTGGGACCAATTATGTCACACTGAGGGGTGATTAAAAGATGAAAATAGCTCACATTCTTGACCTGATGTGGTCCATATGCATCAATCTGCAGTCTGTCAGGCGGACTATGCTTTCGTAATTTCATTACAGTATTCTCCCTCTGCAATGTACTTACAATTACTTGTAATTTACAATGATTGACAATAAACAGCTAATTGACAATTATGTATCCTTTCCATAAAACAATTTGCCATGTGAAATAAAACTTTCTGAATTATAAAGGCATCAATGGGCAATAAACAGCTATATATCCATCCATCCATCCATTTTCTTCCGCTTTATCCGTTGCCGGGTCGCGGGGGCAGCAGTCTAAGCAGAGACGCCCAGACTTCCCTATCCACACACACTTCCTCCAGCTCGTCCGGGGGGACCCCAAGGCGTTCCCAGGCCAGCTGAGAGACATAGTCCCTCCAGCGTGTCCTAGGTCTTCCGCGGGGCCTCCTCCCGGTGGGACGTGCCCGGAACACCTCCCCAGGGAGGCGTCCAGGAGGCATCCGGAACAGATGCCCGAGCCACCTCAACTGGTTCCTCTCGACGTGGAGAAGCAGCGGCTCTACTCCGAGCTCCTCCCGTGTGACTGAGCTCCTCACCCTATCTCTAAGGGAGCGCCCAGCCACTCTGCGGAGGAAGCTCATTTCGACCGCTTGTATCCGTGATCTCGTTCTTTCGGTCATTACCCAAAGCTCATGACCATAGGTGAGGGAGGGAACGAAGATTGACCGGTAAATCGAGAGCTTTGCCTTTCGGCTCAGCTCTCTCTTTACCACAACGATCCGATACAGCGACCGCATCACTGCGCACGCTGCACCGATCTGCCTGTCAATCTCACGCTCCATTCTTCCCTCACTCGTGAACAAGACCCCGAGATACTTGAACTTCTCCACTTAAGGAAGGACCTCTCCACCCACCTGCAGAGGGCAAGGCACCTTTTTCCGGTCGAGCACCATGGCCTCGGATTTGGAGGTGCTGATTCTCATCCCAGCCGCTTCACACTCGGCTGCAAACCGCCCCAGTGCATGCTGCAGGTCCTGGTTCGTTGGAGCCAACAGGACAACATCGTCCGCAAACAGCAGAGATGAAATCCTGTGGTCTCCGAACCGGACCCCCTCCGACCCCTGGCTGCGCCTAGATATTCTGTCCATAAATACAGTGAACAGAACCGGTGACAAAGGGCAGCCCTGTCGGAGGCCAACATTCACCGGGAACAGGTCTGACTTACTGCCGGCAATGCGAACACAGCTCTGGCTCCGGTCATACAGGGATCGGATGGCCCTCAGCAGAGGACCTCCGACCCCGTACTCCCGGAGAACCCCCCAAAGGACACCCCGGGGAACACAGTCGAACGCCTTCTCCAAATCCACAAAGCACATGTGGACAGGTTGGGCGAACTCCCATGAACCCTCGAGTATCCGATGGAGAGTATAGAGCTGGTCCAGTGTTCCGCGACCGGGACGAAAACCACACTGCTCCTGCTGGATCCGAGATTCGACCATCGGCCGTAACCTCCTCTCCAGTACCTTTGGAGTAGACCTTACCGGGGAGGCTGAGGAGTGTGATCCCACGATAATTGGAACACACCCTCCGGTCCCCCTTCTTGTAGAGAGGGACCATCCCGGTCTGCCACTCCATTGGCATTGCCCCCGATTGCCACGCGATGTTGCAGAGACGTGTCAGCCAAGACAGTCCTACAACATCCAGAGACTTTAGATAATCAGGGCGGATCTCATCCACACCCGGAGCCTTGCCACCATGGAGGCTACCAACCACCTTGGTGACCTCAGCCAGGGAGATGGATGTATCCGCCCCAACATCCTCAGCCTCTGCCTCTGTAACAGAGGACGTGACGGGGGGATTGAAGTAAAAGTATCAAAGTATTCCTTCCACCGCCCGACAATATCCTCAGTCAAGGTCAGCAGCTCTCCACCCGTACATGGTGTTGGCAAATAACTGCTTCCCCCTCCTGAGGCGCCAGATGGTTTGCCAGAATCTCTTCGAGGCCGACCGATAGTCATGCTCCATGGACTCTCCGAACTCCTCCCAGTCCCGGGTTTTTGCCTCTGCAACAGCCCGGGCCGTGGCACGCTTGGCCTGCCGGTACTGGACAGCTGCCTCAGGAGTCCCCCGAACCATCATGGCTCGATAGGACTCCTTCTTCAGCCTGACAGCGTCCCTTACTGCCGGTGTCCACCACCGGGTTCGGGGGTTGCCGCCGGGACCAGCACCAGAGACCTTGCGACCACAGCTACGAGCCGCCGCATCGGCGATTGAGGCAGAGAACATGGTCCACTCGGGCTCCATGTCCCCCACCTCCGCCGGGACCTGGGAGAAGCTCTCCCGGAGGTGTGAGTTGAAAGTCCGTCTGACAGGGGGCTCAGCGAGACGTTCCCAGCAGACCCTCACTATACGCTTGGGTCTGCCAGGTCTGACCGGCTTCTTCCCCTGCCTGCGGATCCAACTCACGACCAGGTGATGATCGGTTGACAGCTCCGCCCCTCTCTTTACCCGAGTGTCCGAGACACGCGGTTGAAGGTCAGATGATACGACAACAAAGTCTATCATCGACCTCCGGCCTAGGGTGTCCTGGTGCCACGTGCACTGGTGTACACCCTTGTGCTCGAACATGGTGTTCGTGATGGACAAACTGTGAGTTTGTCACAACTGAACACCGCTCGGGTTCAGATCAGGGGGGCCGTTCTTCCCGATCACCCCTCTCCAAGTGTCACTGGCGTTTCCCACATGGGCGTTGAAGTCCCCCAGGAGAATAACGGAGTCCCCGGGCGGTGCACCGTCCTGTACCCCTCCCAAGGACTCCAAGAAGGCCGGGTACTCTGCACTGCTGTTAGGCCCGTAACAATGAGAGACTTGTCCCCCACATAGCTCCCAGGATCATCCGAGTACTCAAACTCCCCCACCACGTTAAGGTGGCAGTCCAGGGTGGACATAAGGCAAATATTCAATTTTTCCTCCAAAATTGTCAAAGATGGAATTTCTTTGATTATGCTGTGAATTGAATAGTGGATTTTGAAAAAAGATTTTTAACTTCAAGATTTTAAAGGTTTCTGGATTTGATATTGTCATGCATGTTAGTACTGACACAGTAGGCTTGTCACAATAACAACATATATTGTTCTGCTGGACAATACTATATTGCAATGATATATTCATAAGTCATTTGATGCACTGTCACAATTACAACACAGAAGGTAATTCACCACTGTTTTTTATAATTGTCCTTGTCATTTATTGTTAGTGAAATCAAAGCTAACTTTTTTGTCCTAACATAAGTCATAATTTGACTGAGATCTGATTGGTTTGGTGAGGGCGGTCCTCTCGTTTTCACTTTACTGTCTGAATAATCTGATCTGCAGACATGAGAGAGAGCGGAGGACTACTGTAGTTAGATGGATTTACATGGTTTAATTTTCTAAGGTTTGGAAGTTAGGTACCTGAGCTTTAAGCAATGATCAGCCATAGAAGCGAAGAGTAAAATTGAAAAAAATATCCTATTTTTGCTAAATATATTCTTCCAGACAGTCATGTAGTAATTATGGCGACAGGCCCATTTCACAGCAGACACACGGGACAATCATGTATGGTGCTATTTTGTGTTTTTTATTATTGCTGTCATTTCGATGTTTTATTATTATTGTTATTATGGGGCACCTCGGATCCGTCATCTTGAGCCTCTCCCACTTCTCCATGTCGGCCTGGCTCATGGGCACAGAGGCAAAGCTCTTTGGTCCGTCCCGCTGCAGTGGTGGGGGCCTGCTCTGAGCCCGCCTTAAGGCCAGGTCGTCCTTCTGTATGTTTGGCACAGTTTTCCCTTCCTCCTCCTCTCCTTCTTCATCAGCGCCGACCTCGCCTTCCTCTTGCTCATTCCGAGGGGAGGACTTTAGGAAGGGGTTTTCTCTGCGGGTGATGATGTCAGGGATCACGTCTCTGTCACTGGCCAATCACGCAGAGTGTTAGAGGTGGCCATAACAACGGGGGGAAGAGGATTGGGCGAATAGGAGACATAGGGAAAGATGGAAGATTTTAGATTTGTGAGATGAGATGTGTGAGGAAAGAAGATTGTGGTGTTTAAACTGTGTGATGAGGCCCGTATCAACCCAAGTTCATAACAGTGAGAACTTTTGTGTTTCAATCTAACACCGGATCTTCACCAAAAGAGGAAATTATTATTATTTTCTGCCATATTTGGGCAGATTAATTAAAATTAACAAAGATACTATGTATGATCCTACATGACTTCTGGGCCAACAATTTATTTTGTTCTAACCTTGATAAAAAACCAAGACTGGGTAAAGAGCTGCAGAACTATAGTCTTGCAATTTGTTCTGAACTAGTGCCGGTGCATTGAAATGTCATGATAGTATTATTGTCTAATACAGCCTAATACAACTGAGGTATTTTATATTTTTATCTTTCTCTTTAATGTTCTGTGATTATTTACGATTTAAATGCTTTCTTATTTTGTTCAGCACTTTGAGTTGCCTTGTGTATGAATTGTGCTATATAAATAAACCTGCCTTGCCTAATATAGTTCTGTTGTTGTCTGTTGACTAAATATAGGAATAATTGGATCTATAAATGTGCAGTTTTCTTACACAAGATTTTTGTTATGAACGAACACATCATTGGTGAAGGTAAATATGTAGCTCGCGAAAATTCAATTTAGAAGACGTCAGCCCAAGCTACCCCCTCCGGGCCGACTCACATCCTCAGCCTATGGCGCAGCAAACGCCCCCTTCCAATCACACCGTGCCGGACAGACCAGCCGCTTAAAAGCGGAGCAACTCCCATTTTACGGCCTCCCGAAGCCTCGCATGCTCCTGCAGCCTCGCAAAGAATCGTTCTGGAGGAATCGCTTTGTCTACTCACGCTTACTCGTGCGTGTCCCTGCTGTCCTCTGTCTTGCTGCGTGGGTCTGCTCCTCCTGTGGCTGCACCTGCTCCTGCTGTCCTCTGTCTTGCTGCGTGTGGTCTGCTCCTCCTGTGGCTGCACCTGCTGCGGGTCTCGTGCTGTGGTCCGTGGGTCTTTGCCGCTCTCCTCTTTGCGGGCTCTTTCCGCGGGTTTGCCGCTGCTCGTCTCGTCGCAGCCTGCTGCTGCATACGGCCGGTCTAGCCCGTTGCGGTGGGAGCCGTGCGCATCCCTGTCTCCTTGTGCCGGTACGGCGTGGTCCCGTCGTGTTGTCCCTTGTCTTCTGGCGCTGTGGGTAAAGTATGAGATCCGCGGACGGTTTTTTCCCCTCGCTTTGTACTGCAGGCTCAGTTGGCCCAGTGCTGGTGGGCAGGCTTCAGTTTAAAGCCCTCGCATTAGTCTGCAGGCTCTCTTTAACCAAGCTCCGTTAAATCTTCACTCTGACTGCAAGCTCCGTTTAATCCCTCACATTGGAATGCAAGACCTCAGTTTTAATCGCTCTCATTGGACCGCATGCTCTCAGTTTTAATCCCTCACTTTGGCCTGCGGGCTCTGTTTAAATCCCTCTCTGGACTGCAAGCGCTGTTTAAATCCCTCATATTGGACCGCATGCTCTGTTTTAATCCCTCACTTTGGCCTGCAGGCTCTGTTTAAATCCCTCTCTTTGGACTGCAAGCGCTGTTTAAATTATATCTGGAACTACTTATACCTGGAACTGTTGTACCGTATCTGGAACTGCCTATATATGGAACTGCCTATATATGGAACCGCTATATTGGAACTGCTCATATGGTACGGTTATACATGGAACTGCATACATGGTACTGCCTATATCTGGAACGCTATATATTAAAAATAAATAAATGAATAAATAAATACATATAAATAATTATAAATAAATATAAAATTATAAATAACTATAAATAATTATAAATAACTATTAATAAATATAAATAAACATAAATAAATATAAATAAATATAAATAAATAAATAAATAAATAAAACTGCAGGCTCTGTTGGATCCCTCTCACTGGACTGTAAACTCTCAGTTTAAACTCCTCACTTGGACTGCGGGCTCAGTTAATCCCTCACTTGGACCGTAAAACTGTTAAATCCCTCACACCGGACTGCAGCTCTCGGCTTAATCCCTCACTTGGACTACAAGCTCTCTGTTATAAATCCCTCTTTAGGACTGCGGGCAACGTTGAATCCCTCTCTCTGGACTACAAGCTCTCAGTTTAATCCCTCACCTTGGACTACAGGTCATTTAACTCCCTCACACCGGACTGCAGGCTCTCAGTTAAACGCCTCACTTGGACTACGGGCCCGGTTTTAATACCTCACTCTGGACTGCAAACTCTATTTAAATTCCTCACATTGGACTGCAAGCTCTGTTTAGGTCCCTCGGCGTCTCGTGTCCCGCAACCTCTTCCCGGCTCTCCGTGAGCCCCAAGTCGGCACGCGGCTCGGGCGCGGGAGGTGTCCGTGTGCTACGTCATTGGCCCCTTCTCTCCGTCTCGCTCTAACCCGACGGGCATCGCCACCCGCAAGCACTCCAGGAAGAAGCGTCTCATATTCGTCCTCTCCTGTCCCCGCTCCGGGCCCGCCCGAGCATCAACAGCCCCTTCCCTCCAGCGCCCCTCTCTTGCGGAGGCGCCGTGCTGGATCCTGCTAAATTATGTACGGCTCCCCTCCGTCCTGCATCTCCTCGATGACTTTCTCGTGGTAGACCCACCCTCGGACGGCTCCGGGAGCTCTCTCCGCAACCTCAAGCTCGCTTTCTACGCCCTGGGAGTCCCCCTCTCCGAGGGAGAAGACCACAGGCCCGCCACAGCTCTAGAGTTTCTCGGCATCCGCCTCGACACGCGCGCCACGGAGGCCTCCCTCCCGCTGGACAAACTCGAGCGCATCCGCGCTATCTCCCGGTCTGCCCCGTCATCCCTGTCACTTTCGAAGCGTCAGTTGCTCTCCCTTCTCGGGCGTCTTGATTACGCCATCCGCATAATTCCTCAAGGTCGCTCCTTCATCTCCAGACTCCTCTCCCTCGCCGGCTCCGTCTCCTCCCTCAACGACGCGGTCTGCCTGGCCGCGGGGTGCCGCTCCGACCTGGCGTTCTGGTCCCGCCTGCTGAGCCGTTGGAATGGCGTCTCCTTTTTTCTACAGCAACGTCGTCCTATCCTCGGACGCCCTGCGGTTCTTCACGGACGCAGCCCCGTCCGTGGGTTTTGGGGGATTCTTTCAGGACCAGTGGTTCGCCGGGCCCTGGCCCGACGCCTTCCCTCAAAACATCTCCTCCGCGCTCCACGAGATATATCCCGTGACCGTAGCCTGCGCGCTGTGGAGCCATATGTGGCAGAGGAAAAGGATTTCCGTGATGTGCGACAACCTCGACGTTGTCGAGGTTCATCCTCTCCCCAAATCATGACTTTTCTTAGACGTATCACATGGCTCTCAGTCCTGAACAATTTTATTATCACTGCTCGTCGCGTCCCTGGTCACCTTAATTGTCTCGCTGATTCTCTCTCTCGTTTCAAATTCCAGGAGTTCCGACGCCTCTGCCCTTCTGCCAACCCATCGCCATGCCAGATCCCCTGCATGGAATCCCTCGCCCTGGACTAATCCCTCCGTCTCTTCGCCTCCTCATCTCCTCCGCGGCATCCTACATGAAGATGGGCCTCTCACCTTCCACTCTGAAATCATACAGTCTCGCTTGATCCATGATGCACTACACTCGCCTCCGCTCACGGAAAGGAGATCTCAACGGACCGTCATTCTCACTCTCGATAACCTCCCGATGTCCTCCAACTGGTTCAGAGCCCAACTCAAGTCTGTACTGCTGCTTTGTAACCTGTCTCCCTATCTCTACACAGCCCACTCCTTCAGAATAGGCGCCGCCACGCGTGCCGCGTCCCTGGGTCTCCCCCATTCTGCCCTTCAGCAGTTGGGCCGCTGGTCATCATCGGCCCTCTCCTCATACATCAGGCCTGACACTCCGACTATCCTCGCAGCCCAGCGCCTCTTGGCATCTCCATAAATCACTCGCAAAACTCCTGGTGGCGGCAGCAGCTGAGTATCCGCTATAACGATCACAGCATATAACGGTCACAACAGATAGCGGTCATAGCTTAGTGATAGCGGTCATAGCGTCAGTGATAGCGGTCATAGCGTCAGTGATAGCGGTCATAGCGTTAGTGGTAGCGGTCACAGCGTTCGTGTTAGCGGTCACAGCATAGCAAAAAATGGTTAGCGCATAAACGGTTCACAGCATAGAGATAGCGGTCACAGCATAGCGATAGCGGTCACAGCATAGCGATAGCGGTCACAGCATAGCGATAGCGGTCACAGCATAGCGATAGCGGTCACAGCATAGCGATAGCGGTCACAGCATAGAGCAGCCACGACGTCTGTCCCCTGCAAACCAGGCTGCAAAACCCCATCAACTCACAGCCTTTTTGGGGATTCTACGCGCCCCAGCGCAGGAGCCTCCCCTAACTGAAGGCCGCACCGGGGCCTAGGGCGCCAAACCACCTCTCATTAAAATACTCAAAAGCTTTCTCGTTTCACGTCTCTCCAAATTGAAATGTAGCTCGCGAAAATTCAATTTAGAAGACGTCAGCCCAAGCTACCCCCTCCGGGCCGACTCACATCCTCAGCCTATGGCGCAGCAAACGCCCCCTTCCAATCACACCGTGCCGGACAGACCAGCCGCTTAAAAGCGGAGCAACTCCCATTTTACGGCCTCCCGAAGCCTCGCATCCACCGCCTCCCCTCCTCCTCCTCTTCACCCTGCCTCCAACCTGCCTTCAAATCTGCTTCACGCTGCCAAGATGCCGCCACCAGTACCTAGGCCCCGGGGGGATTCTACGCGCCCCAGCGCAGGAGCCTCCCCTAACTGAAGGCCGCACCGGGGCCTAGGGCGCCAAACCACCTCTCATTAAAATACTCAAAAGCTTTCTCGTTTCACGTCTCTCCAAATTGAATAGTATACAGTAAAGGAGGACAAAGTCGGCGCTGACCTGGCCTCCCTCTCCTGCAGACTGTGCTGTGAGGCGCGCCTGATGCCCTCCCAGCGTTGCAGGTCCTTGTCGCTGCACGCAGAGGGCACGAACTGCTGGCGCCTGGGTGCGGCTCTATGGGCAGCCCTGCGCGAGGCCAGGTCGTCCTTGCGCACGTCGGGAATCTTCTGCACCTCCACCTCCTCTCCGTCTGAAGAGCAGTCCCAGGCCGCCTTCTGACTGCGTAAGAAGTCATTGTCCCGGCGCAGGATGATGGTTGGGGAGGAGCCGCGCACCTCGGGCTCCTCTCTGGGTCCAGGGCTGCGGTCAGAGGCGGTCGGTTGGATTGTGACGTTTGGGTGTTCACACTCATGCACAGGGCAGGCTCGCTTCTTGCAAATATGGATTATTAGGGGATTAGACTGCATTCTGTGAGCTGGGATTATGAAACGCAGCAGCGCCAACTATTTTACAGACAACCCACACAACAAATGCCACACACACAGGGGTTATCCTAGTAAACATGCACTTAGGTAAGAACTCGCTACCATAAAATGTGTACTGTTTTTTTAAAAACCCTACAAAGTTTGGGTTGTGCAGAAAAATTATCATTATCCAGATAAAGTGGAAACCTTCTGTTATCAGCATCTAACAGAAAAGAATAAAAAGAGTCTCCGACAAGCACACTCAAACACTGCAAACATAGTGATGGGATTTTGCCATCTGACAAATCACCAACAAGTATTTAATGAAAACCATACAATTCCAATTTTGCTAAAGCAACACAATCACTGTGCAAGATTAGAAACCAGTTATTATCATTAAACTCCGTGCGTCATAAATCGACCAACCACAATGCGCCTGTAGACATGCCCAATCAACAGCAACATGTCCTGTGAGAGCAAACCACATCAAATCGTCCATTGATCATCTTCCACAGCCGTTCAGTCTCCAGGCCCACAGTCTGACCTGCACAACGGGGCAGCAGCAGGCAACACCTTCACCCCCGCTTTCTCCAATCTCTCCATCTTCCTTTGCTCCACCGCCTCCCGGCTCTCTGCTTCATCATCCTCCAAAATCGGTTGCTCTTTTTGGCTATAGCCGTTATCTGGTGCCCATGTGACGCACTTGGGGCTTCTGAAATGCAATCTGGGTTTTTCCCCATGTTCTAGATTTGTTTTACTGGAAAAAAAAGTGTTGGCAAAGAAATTGGGGTGGTGTTACAATATCTTTCTTGCTGTTCAACATCTGGGTTCATATGTGTCATTGAGGACTTGACAATTTCCCCACTGTGGGACAAATAAATCTCTTATCTTTTCTTATCATATCAACATTCTGCACATAACTATATCATCTTTCGGCACAAACAGAACTACGTTAAACTGCTTCGTTCGTTACACAGAAGTAGCAGGATTTAATAAAGGCACACTTGTGACTTGATGTCAGTTGAAAGAGCAGTTCTACTGTAGTCATAAAATGAAAGTAAGAACTCAAAGAGCATGGTGTAACTTCATGATGTATAACTTATCAAGATGTTTCAACACATTGCGTCTCAAGTTATTCACTTACCTTTTTATTTCAAGTAACACTGTATCTTTTTACTCATCAGCAAAAAATGTTCTGCCAATGTTAGGCAATTGAATAAAAGGAGCAAAAAGAGTTCAATCTAAAGTGGATTCAAGGAATTTAAAGCAGTGGTTCTCAACTGGCCACAAGGTAATTGATGGAGGGTCTCAACAACATTTTAAAATATGTTACAACACAATGAAAACAAAATATCAAGAAAGAGGTCTTTTTTTTTCAACTGGAGCGGGTGGGAACACAGATTTAAAGCATGTCTCCATACCCACATTCTGGGCCTCTCTGAGCTGGTGTCTTACCTCCGCTGCTCGCCCTCCTCCGTGGGCTGCTTGCGGCGAGGTCCCGGGACGTAAGCAGAGCTGTTGGCGCGGTTGGGGAGGAACTGGTTGAAGGGCACAGAGGAGCGCGTGTCACTGGCCGCGGTGCGCCGGGCCAGCATGTCGTCTTTGCGCACGTCTGCTCTCCTGCCGTCGGCCTCAGGGTCGCTGCCCCGCCCTGCTCACAAGAACATCAACATCAGAAAATGCCAGGGGTTTGAAGGAGAAGAGGGCGAAGAAAATACACTTTAAGAGACGTTTCTTATTTTAATTTGGGCCACGTCCTGGACCTGTGTGTATGAAAAAATATAATATATTGATAACAAAAAACTTTACTTTTAGATAATTATCATTATCTTTGATTTGATAAGGCCTTTTTATTTTTAAACATATTTAATAATGAAAATAAAAAAAGATAAGGAGTCATTTTGTATGAATCTGAATGTAATTTGTAGAAGTTAGTAGTATAAATTGTAGAGAGAGAAATGCACTGTTGTGCTGTTGTGCTTGTAAAGAAAGGAGAACCCCAAGCATTTTGTCTGGCATAAACATGTTTTTATGATACTTATTTTGACAGATGGTTATATTGCAGAAAATAATAAACACGATTTTTCCATTTAATTAAAACGGGGGTACCATACTCTCAAACAACAAACAAATTAATCTATGTCATAAAATCTTAATGTGCTAAAACAAACAAGTTTAAAAAAATAATCTCAGTAGCTCATAAATTAACACACATTTTAAAAAATGACTTGATGAACTGCTATACTGTTAAAACCATTTATAGATGCACTGTTTTGCATCTATAAATCTAACGTAGCTGATAGTTGATGCTGGTCTGCTGCAGCTTGTCAGCATTTTTTCAATGGCCTCAAAGAACCTTACATTAATGTTAGTTATGCAATAGTTCATAAATAAAGGGGTTTATCATGTAATTGTTTGGGGGCTGGGATTGAAATCAGGTCAGGATAAAAAAAATACAAGCTTAACCTACATGTACAATAAAGCAGAGTTCATAAATCATATTTCTATGAGGGTATATCCAGCTGCTGCCATTGACTGGAGAGTAATGGAGAGTAACTATTCGTATATACAAAAGCACTGGCTATTATGGAGCAGTAAATCTATCCCGAGGACTGGCATGCACGCTGCACTGGGTCTACTCTCACAGCTACAGGCTACACACGGCATTCTCTATGGAGACTTGGAGAGAATGCGGCCCATGAATCTATTCTTGTCTGTAGGCGAGGGTTTTTCTTGACAACTGTTTGCGCACATATAACACCGTCTGTCGTCTCCCTTCTCACTCCACAAAAGGGGCACGTCCTGAGCTCGAATGACCAGTGGGATAGGAACCGAAGCTGCAACTTAGTCCCAACAGCTGCTCCTGCATCTGGGCCAACTCACTCTGTACGACAGCTGTTGGCCTAGATGACCAGAGCGTGGCAAAACGTCTGAGAGGTTGTGTTCATGTGACATCACAACATTCCAAAGAGCCTATAGTTTAAAACTGGCATGGTGAGCAGCTGGTAAAACTTTCCTGGCAACTATGGTAACTATCAAAAGTCAGATTTCTGGTCTTAGTTTCAAGTTAAATTATCTATAATTCCTGGAACTATCCACATGAAACAAAAATTGTCTCAAAGTTCCACATCTTCTTTGTCAACTCTTATCAAATATGGTCTTCATGAAGGTGTCTAGAAGTGGGGACAGTATTCCAAAACACATGCCTGATGGTGCCCAGAGGAAATAATAATATTGCGGGTTTGGAATTAATCACAAACATAATGATCTGGGAAGACATTTTTCTTCTTTCGTAATGGAGTATTGGCCTGCCCTCCATCTGAAATAGAATTCTACAACAAGAACGCAACCTATTTGCGATTGTGATACGATTTTTGATATGCAGTATGTTTACATTTTATCCAAAGAAAAAATATTAACCTTGCTTGTCTTTATTGTCTTACAACACGATTAAAGTTGGACCTGAGTTATGCACCACCTTTCAACAGTTTTGACTTAACTAAATTATGAAAATCATATGGAATGAGAATGCTTCTGCCATATAAGACAAACGGTACTTGGTTGTTCGATTGACAAATATTCAAAATAATAAAGATTTGTTTTTATTGGTTTATCTTTTTTCCCAATTTTTGTTGCTAAGAAGTTAAATGATTGCAGTTTTTGTGAATTGCTAGTTACAAACACAAAATGTTGCAATTATGTATGAAGGGTTATACACGGTCATAAGAGTCTCCAGAGGAAGTAACAAGGTGTCACGTTAAATAGGAGAAGGGGGGAGGGGATTTGTTTTATATTTGCCCACTGAATTGAAAGTGACTGACCATCGCTGTTGCCTCTGTTCACCACGTCAGGAGAGGGGGTGTGCTGCGAGCGCGAGCCAAAGGAGTCCAAACTGGAGGAAAAATACAGGCAAATATAAATACATTATAGTCAAGAAATAATATCTACAGAGGTATTGCTTGGGCACTCCAATCAATTCTGATTATTTTTTGTTATAAAATATTGGTTATTTGGTGAGAAATTACAGTTAAATCTATCATATAGGAAACAAACAGTGATTTTTGAGGAGAGAAATAAAGTTTGTTTCATTCACAGAAAGTGTGCAAGAATTATTTAAACCAAACTTGCCTTTCTCCTGCTGTAATATAGTATAAAGTGTTAGCAGAGGTAACAGGTAGTGATAGTGACCTGTCCAGGGAATTGTCTCTGGTGTGGCGTGGAGGGGACAGGGAGTCGCTCCTCTCTGAGTCCCAGCAGTCATAGCCACTGTCCCGAACACTGCGCTTCTGGGAGCTGTCTCCCGACTCCTCACTCTCCTACAAACAACACACACACACATTATTGGTCTTTATTTCATCATCACAAAGTAAACATTCGGAAGAAGATAGTGTAATATGTCAGTCAACCTTCTAGAACAACTCAATTTAAATTGATCCATATTTATTTTTGTAAATCTGTAATTCACAAAAGCAGTCGTCTCGGAGGACTTTACAAAGTTGTTGATTTGTCCACACAGATCAAAGAATCAAACAGCTGTCATCAATGTATTAGGAATGTGTGTTCATGTATTACCCCCCAAAATAAAAATTAAGCAATTTCATATATCATCATTCCTGTGACGATAGTGGCTCAGTTGGTAGAGCACTGGCCTTTAGGCCTGAAGGTCGTGGGTTCGAGCCCACCATGAGACCTACTTCACGACTTCCACTGATGTTTGCTGTCGTTGTGTCCTTGGGCAAGATACTTAACCCCACTTTGCCTGAAGCCCACGCTGAAAGATCTCAGCTCCTGTGGATTCACCACCTGCAGGAGGATCAGTGAGGGGCTGGTGCTATGTGTACTGGGTGCAGCTCTGACTGCCACCCCCCCGACCCAGAAATGGATTAATGGGGAAGAAGATGGATGGATGGATGGATCATTCCAGTGAAACTCTCTATTCATTGACCTACCAGGAAAGTTCCACCAAGGAACATCAATTGAGCTTTGTTTGTTGTCAAACGTACACAAATATCTCATATCTCAACTCATTGCTGTGAGTAAAGGGTTAATTAGGGCTCTAATCTTGAGTCTTAAAAAGCCTCATTCTGGATCCTGTTCACTTGTTTGACCCAAAGCCCTGAACATTATCTCTGCTCTGTGTGTTGACACCTGTCGTGATCTTTACACAGGAACATCCTGACACAAACAGGAAGCCCCCCTCAAACACACACAAACAACCACACACACACACACAACCAAAACAATGCACACTCACACACACAGAGACACCACAAATGTTGGATTTAATCAACATTTATGGTCATTGGTCATCCGCCCCTTATGGATCAATGACTCAATGGGCCTCATTCACGAACGGTTCTTAGGAACAGATGTGTACGTAAATCCTACTTACGCGGTTTTTACAAAGAAAGTGGCATTCACGAATATTTCTCGTAACCAGAATTTCTCTTGGGCAAGTACAAATCCTACGAGTCCTCAGGAGCACTCGTACGCATTCAGTGCCGACATGTTCACACGCTGGGGTTGTCCTCTTTGGTGAAGTTGAATAAAAATACAACATTCCAGTGATATGTCCGTCATATCGATGTATGTATTTATTTATTTGTAGTAATCTTTATTAGTAATCTTTATTTATATACCGCCTTTTTCCCTGCAGATCTGGCCTACTTTTTAATTCATTTTGAAATGAAATGTGCCAACGCTTTATCAAATACATTGGAAATCTTGCCGTGTATTAGTGACCCCTTCCTATTTATAGGGGGCATTTCTTTATCCACGGGCCACAGAACAACGGCATATATACTGCTGCTGCAGGAGGTTACTGGGTCCGCGCTGAGTCTCTGCGCTGGTCTCTCCTATGGATCTATACGGGTCTGCACTGGTCTCTCCCATGGATCTATACGGGTCTGCACTGGTCTCTCCCATGGATCTAGACGGGTCTGCACTGGTCTCTCCCATGGATCTATACGGGTCTGCACTGGTCTCTCCCATGGATCTAGACGGGTCTGCACTGGTCTCTCCCATGGCTCTAGACGGGTCTGCACTGGTCTCTCCATACGGGTCCGTGCTGCATGCTCCTGGATCCATACGGGTCCGCGCTGGTCTCTCAAGTCTGGTCTATGCGGTCTATCTTCGGTCCGCGCTGGTCTCTGCGCACCGGTCTCTCCAGTCAGGTCACTCCAGTCTATGCGGTCTCTCCTATAGGTCCGCGCTGGTTTCTGTGTGCTGGTCACTCCAGTCTCTCCTCGGGTCTGCATTGGTCTCAGCGCTGGTCCGCACTGGATCTCCTCCCAGGGTCCAAAATATTTTGAGATTAATCTCAAAACATTTTGAGATTCATCTTTAAAATAATACATAATATATTTTTAAATTAAGCTCATAACATTTTGAGATTCATCTCATCATATTCTTAGATTAATCTCATAATTTTGCTAGTTCGACTTTATTATCATAATATTTCGACTTTTAAGTCAACATTTTATAACTTTATTCTCAGTCTGGTAAAAGAAGAAAAAAGGCCTGCTTTAGGCCTGTTGCTGTTTCCTCAGCCGTCTGCACACGGCCCTGCATCCCCTTATATGGGCATTAATGGGCGGTTACTTATGCTAAGTACCTATGCTAATGAAGCACCTGGCACGCGCGCTGTACTTACGAGGAAATGGGATTCATCAATCTGAGAGAACAGCTGCGAACAATTCAGCGGCTTACGAGTGCGTTGATGAATCCCACGTGGGGACTTCTTAGAAATCTACTTAAGGACAACTTGAGAAGAAAGTTGAGTAGTTTCTTACGAAGTTATTCGTGAATGAGGCCCAATGTTTTTATCATTGCATTTCCTGTCTTCTGAGATAACCACTGTTGTGATTTAGGGTGTGTACGCACGCGTACACACACAAACACACACACTTCTACATAGACACACACTCACCAGCTTCATGTGAGCCAGTAGCTCCTCAAACTCCTTGTGGTTCAACGTGGGCCCAGTGTAGGGTGTGCAGGCGCTGGCAGCTTTCCCCAGCCAGAACACTGTGTTCAGCACCTACGACACAAGCATCGATCAGACGACTACAATGACAAATATTACATTCAAATAAGAAGAAAAGAATAGACTTACGTTTTTCAGTTTGCGTGTGCAGTCTGAATCCCTGGTGAAAGACAAGGCAATACTTAGATCAAACTTAAACGCATGGATACAGTATAGAATTCTTAATACTCTCACAATCTGCAGAAATAAGTGGAATTGCCAAATGATTCTGTTAAGGGCTTAACTTCAGTATTAGCACTGAAATAATGAGATTACAAGCATACCATATTTACTTACATAACTGCAGTCTGTGGTCTTATTTGCAAATTTTAATTCCAGAATGTTTTTTCTTTATGTCAGGAAGATCTCCATGCACTTCATGACAAACTTGGAGTATAGGTTCAAAGAGTCAACAGAAACAAGACCTCAACTTTTGCACATTGTGTAATGTTCACCACCTCAAACATAGATTTCGATTTCCTTTTTTACTTGACAGTATTCAGAAAAAGAAAAATCACTGTGATATGTTTTGCTGACTTCAAGTAGATAAATACTACCTCAACTACTAATACCAAATACATAAGTAAGTAATCTTCATTTATATACCGCCTTTCACAGACCAGAGTCACAAAGCGGTTTACAATTGTTATTTTTTGGGCACTTGTCTCTCACTCCACACAGAGATGGGAGCGGGATCGCCAGTACAGGAGGCGCATGCCAGAACTATTGGACATGTTTTTAGTGGTAGGGGAAACCGGAGTACCCGGAGGAAACCTACGCAGACACAGGGAGAACGTGCAAACTCCACTCAGAAAGGCCCTGGTCCGACTGGGATTCGAACCCAGAACCTTCTTGCTGAGAGGCGAGAGTACTGCTATCCACTCAGCCACCGTGCCACCCAATACATGCTTAAACCTTTGTTTTGTTTTTTTGTTTGTTTTTTTTAATAAAAGTGACTATGGTATGTTTTGGTGAAATTTAGGTTCAGATTGTTGCCAAATATTATACATTTCATATTCAATAAAAAAGTAGAGAATCAATCTCAAGATCTGAAACGAGACCAAAAACTCTGGAAGTGTGCACTAATCCCCATTAATCACAGACAACATAGATTTACATTTGTGGCTATGTCTTTCTTAGGATCAAGTGACCAAATGAAGAGGGTTTTTTTTATGATGTGGTCTGATTTGTTCACAAAATGTTACTTAAACAAGACTCATTCAACCACAATATATTTAAATTTTGGTCTCAAAAACCAAAGACTGATTTAGTGCCTTAAAACAGCCAAATAGATGTTGAACTTGACAACCGAACAAGGCAATAGTAAGAAGTGAATGACAAAAGCATGTTTACTTGAGGTTGGCTCGTATGGAAGTGTCCTGCAGGTCTCCGGGGTCAAACAGCTGCGCTCCCTTCAGTCCCAGCTCCTCACAGCCTCGCAGGAACACTGTCAGGTTGTCCTGCACAAACAGGAGGGCAGAGTTTATCACGCAGACCACAGACCTGGGCCGGATATCCCCCAGAGCGTCCACTTACCAGCCCTGCGATGGGGGTGGGCAGCCGGTTGATCTTCTTGACCGCCCCTGGCTTTATTGCACTCAGCAGCCTGTGGAGAAGAGGGAGCTGAGTGAGTCCTGAGTATAGGGTCTCGAGATAAGTCGTGAGGTCCGAAGAAAACACATGAGTATAATTATATAAGTTCTTTACAAACGGGACTAAAGATTTAACAATAATAGCTAGAATTTGGGAATATGTCTGGATTTAAGAAGAAGGTCCCACAAGGGGGAGATTTCAGTTTGATACATACTCATACATATATACCTATACATATACATATACACATCAAGACAAGCAGCGAATATCACTCCCGCGCTCCTTATAGGCATAGGCCTTATAGTTGTGAGAAAGAATTACTTTCTCATTTGAAATTAAACATCTCGTTTTTTTTTCTATCTTGTATAAACTGATGTGCGAGAGTCGTAGCTCAGTCAAAACAACCGCATTAATAATGTTAATTACTTGATGATATTAGTGTGGTGTTTGTGTGGCGTCTGCAGGCAGTGTCTCTCTCTGGACTAACTCGTTTTAATGGATTTTTTACTGTTTTTAATTCTTTTTAAAGTTACAGTTTAATGTATTTTTTATTGAAACTTCTTCACAAGCTCTTGAGAATTGTGAATTGGAGCCCAGAGCAAACTGAGACAATGAAGATGTGTTGCTGAAATGCTAGCTCGGAGGCTACCACGAGGGCACCACGTCATGAGCTTTTATTAAACCTACACAGACATGGAACGCGACACTGCAATAACCACAAACCCTATAAACGACATTAGTCGCCTCACATTGGAGCTTCGTGAGAGGGACCGTGCCACTATTGCAGACCTCCGTAAAGAAGTCCTTCGCCTCACTGCAGAGCTGCAGGATAAACAGTCACTCGTGTCCAAACTCTTTGATGTCGCTGGCGGGCAGCACTCACGGCTTATGTCACTGAGCGCTGCATACTGTGACACTGTCGTGTGGGAGAGGTCTGTCAGCTCTGGACCCTCCTGTTCTACACCTAAGCGCCCGGTTCCGAATGAGGAACCCGCGAACTGCGAGGAGCCATCCAGCGCCGTGGCCCATGTCCTGAGCCTGTCAAACCGCTATGCAGCCCTCTCCGCTGACATCCCAGCCCCCTCAGCAGAACCTCTGGACTCTGCAGCGTACTCTGCCGTTCGTGGATCTAAGTCCACTGCGAGAAAAACGCTCCTAAAGGAAGCCGTCCTCAGACGAAAGAGTGGTCATTCCCCTTCTCTGACCCCAGTGCATCACCACCACTTACCTCCACCGGGTCAGCAGCAGCGACCCGAGCCTGCTCCTCACGCCGCTCCAGCGTCCCCGAGCACACAGCGTGGGTTGCCCGGAGCTGAGAATCAACACCCCCGCTCCCCTCCATGTGTTCAGCAGCGCCCTGGTTCGGACTCATCCCTGGATGAGCCCGCTGGTTCTGGCCATGGACACCGAGCGCCCTCTCCGCGGCTACGTCCACTCTTCGCCCCGACTACTTTGATTGTTGGAGATTCCATCGTGAGACACGTCCGCTTTTTTAACGCGGTCACTCAGTGTTTTCCCGGAGCCACTGTACCAGACCTGCTCATCCGTCTCCCTCCTCTGCTTCAGTCCCTGCCTGATACCATTTCAAAGGTAATCGTGCATGTGGGGATCAACGACATGAAGCTGCAGCAGTCCGAGGTCACAAAGAAGCATTTTATGGATCTATTCCGCCTTCTCCAGTCCTCCGGGTTGTGTGTTTTTATCTCTGGTCCAGTCCCGACTGTAAACCGGGGAGACTGCTTGTACAGTCGCGTAGTGGCGCTGAATATGTGGCTCCAGTCTGCATGTAGCTCGTTTAACTTTATTTTTGTGAATAACTTTGGCCTTTTCTGGAAGCGTCACGTGGCTTATCGTCCAGACGGTCTGCACCCAAATAGATATGGCACCAGCTTGTTGACGGATTACTTACGCCACGTTATTCAGTGTTCCCCGAGGGGGGCGTGACTGTTTACATCGGAGCCCCCACCACCACCACCCTCCTCCTTCTTCTCCTGCTCACCAGCACCGGGTGAGTACTGTGGTGCAAACACTGACCCCTTTCCGTCTGGCAGTGAAATAACAGTCTCGCCTCTGAACCGTGCTGCCTCCTGCTCTAAACAACGAAGCAATGCCGTCCTGAATCCGGGACTTACACAGCAAAAGAGTTCACATGTTAGACAAATAGAAACTGTGTGTGTTCCTCGCATCAGTTTCAAAAAATGTTTTTATTTGAATGGAAAACAAAATCATAACAGAAGGACAGCAGTTAGACATTCAAATCTAATTCCTGCTCCTTGTAAAAATCAATTAACTAAACCCACTGTTACTGATATTAATTTTAAAATTGCTATGCTTAATGTCAGATCACTGTGCAACAAATCATTTTTAATTAATAATTTTATCCGTTCTTATGATCTTGATTTTATGTTTCTGACTGAAACTTGGCTTGACCAGAGTACAGGTAATGCGGTTTTAATAGAAGCAACGCCACCAAACTTCAAATTTGAATCTGAAATCCGAGAAAATAAAAGGGGGGGAGGCATTGCTGCATTATTTAGAGATCGTATTATCTCTCATAGAATTCTCCTTGGAAATTTTCTATCATTTGAGTATATTTCTTTTAAAATAGAACAAAAACAATCTCCTTCTATTCTTATCATTGTCCTGTACAAGCCACCGCGTCTTGTCACAATTTCTTGGATAATTTCACTGAGTTGCTTTCAGTTGTTTGCACCGATTTTGATAGTTTAGTGATTACAGGTGATTTTAATATTCATGTGGATAATGGCAATGACAAAAATGCAAAAGAGCTGAGTTCTGTACTTGAAACATTTGGTCTCACTCAGCACGTGAGTGGCCCCACCCACAGCAAAGGGCACACTCTAGACCTGCTGGTTACAAAGGGGGTTAATATTTTAAATGTAAATGTGGTTGACGTGGCTCTGTCAGATCACTTCTGTGTATTTTTTGACATGTGTTTTGATAGCAAACAACCATATATATCTGAATCTGCAATTGTCAGACACAGACACATAAATGAAAACACAACCGAACTATTCATGGGAATGATAAACTTTGAGAACACATTGTGTTCTACTGTTGACGAATTGTTTAACTCTGTCACCGCCAATGTTATAAATGTTCTGGACATCATCGCTCCTGTGAAGGTTAAAATGATTACAAATAAGCCAAAGGCCCCCTGGACTAAAATGGACTCAGTCATGGTACAGAAGAGAGAGTGCCGTAGGGCCGAGCGGAAGTGGCGAAAATCCAATCTCCAGGTTGATCATGATATCTTCAAAAATGAGTTGTGCAAGTTTAACAGGGTGCTACGTAGAACAAGAGAAATTTATTTTTCTAAAACCATTGATGGCTGCAATAATAATCTACGACTTATGTTTTCAACAGTTAACGGATTAACAAACCCCCCTGTTCAGCTGCCATTCGAATTTGCTTCAGAATCTAAATGTAATGAGTTTGCACAATTTTTCAATGACAAGGTTCAGAGCATCAAAAACGCCATCACCTCCAAGGCAGCAATAACATTACAACAGCCGGTGAGGCTGTTTGAGCTATCGCACTTTGCACCAACAGATAATGAAACTGTCCAAGATGTTGTCTCTAGCCTTAGTTCCTCCACATGTAGCCTGGATGTACTACCCACTAAATTTTTTAAGTCTGTTTTGAGCAGTCTTTTACCTTTGCTCACACAAATAGTGAACATGTCTTTCTCATCTGGAACATTTCCAATGGCCCTGAAAACGGCAGTCATCAGACCCCTCCTAAAAAAGTCTAGATGCCACAGTTCTTAAGAATTATCGCCCCATTTCAAATCTGCCGTTTATGGGAAAAATTCTGGAAAAAGTTGCTTACCAACAACTTACAGAATTCTTAGTAACTAATAGTTCGTTTGATGCGCTCCAGTCCGGCTTTAGAGCCAATCACAGCACTGAGACTGCACTAGTGAAGGTTACAAATGACATCCGACTTAACACCGACACAGGAAAAGTCACAGTTTTAGTAATGTTGGATCTGAGTGCTGCGTTCGACACAGTCGACCACGAGATCCTCCTGCAGAGACTAGAGCACTGGGTGGGTGTCACTGGGACTGCCCTAAGTTGGTTTAGGTCTTACCTAGAAGACAGGAAATACTTGGTTCAGATAGGAAACTGTGTCTCAGATCATATGGCTCTGACCTGCGGAGTGCCACAGGGATCAATTCTGGGGCCTCTTCTGTTCAATATTTACATGCTGCCGTTAGGTCAGTTAATACGCTCCAACAATGTATCCTACCACAATTACGCTGATGACACTCAAATTTATGTCTCACTTACTGCAGGAGAACATGGACCAGTGGAATCACTCCTTCACTGTACTCAACAGATTAGTGATTGGATGCAAAATAACTTCCTTCAGCTAAACGCAGACAAAACAGAATTGATTGTCTTTGGTCCTCAGAAACAAAGAGAGAGCGTTATTCGTCACCTCCAGTCTCTCTCCCTGGAACCTGTAGGCAAGGTCAGAAACCTAGGAGTTATAATGGACTCAGACTTAAATTTTAACAGTCATATCAAATCAGTAACATCAGCAGCATTTTACCATCTGAAAAACATTGCCAAAATTAGAAACATAGTGTCTAAATCAGATCTGGAGATTCTCATCCATGCATTTGTCTCCAGTAGGTTAGACTACTGCAATGGCCTGCTCACAGGTCTCTCCAAACAGGCTGTAAAACAACTGCAGTATGTCCAAAATGCTGCAGCTCGAGTCCTGACCAGGACCAGGAAATATGACCACATTAGTCCAGTTCTCAGGTCTCTGCACTGGCTTCCTGTGGCTCAGAGAATAGACTTCAAAGCAGCACTGCTTGTGTACAAGTCTCTCCATGGCCTCGCACCAGGGTACTTAAGCGACTTGTTAGTCCCATATGAACCGACCCGGACTCTGAGGAGCACAGGAGGTAGCCTCTTACTGGTTCCAAGAGTCAGAACTAAACATGGGGAGGCAGCGTTTGAGATTTATGGAGCTAAAATCTGGAACAATCTTCCTGAAGATGTGAGGCTAGCATCTACTCTGGCAATTTTTAAATCGGGGCTAAAAACTGTTCTTTTTAGCTGTGCATACGGCTGAAGGATTCTATTGATACATACTCTTTTTTTTTTAATGCATTGTGGTTATTTATTATTTTAATCCCGTGTGTGCTTTTAATATATATATTTTTTTTCCATTATTTGTGATTTTATTCTGTTTTTAATGTATTTATTGATGTCTCTGATTTGTGTGATACTATGTGGGTTGTGAGGCGCTTTGAGTGGCCTTGTGTTGGAAAGGCGCCATACAAATAAAGTTGATTGATTGATTGAACTGTCAAAATGTGTTGATAATAGAGGTGAACGATAAGCACAAAATGCCAAATCTTCATGCCATCGATACGATATCTCATAATCAATACAGGTTTGGTGAAAAACGTATTGGTTTAGAAACACAAACATATCATAATACATAAAAGTGAAATCTTGTGGGAAATATACTGGATTTTAATGTGGAATCTTTACTAGTTTAGGCAGATTCATCTAGTCTTCTTAGTAGAATTAAAATTATTGGGTTCTTCTAAACTAGATAATGGAAGGTTTTGTGATTACCTTCACAGTAGACAATATGGTATGGTATGGTTTTTATTTTTACAGGGACAGTGTACAATAAACATTAGCCAGAAGGAGAGATGCATTGTACCAGGTTATAGCAGCATTGCTAATTTACACCTGTAGTCCCTGGTAAGGTAATAACATCACAAAACCTTATATTGTCTGGTTTAGAAGAACCCAATACTTTAATGGAATCTATACTGTTTATTTTGATGATTTTTCTTGGTGACTGTTCATATCTCGATAACGAAACAATACCGATCTTTCAGGCAGAGGTGACAATAAGAAAAGATGAGAAAATATGAGAAAATATCTAAATAACTTCCTCCAAGCGTTTATTCATATATAGTACATGTATATTTAACTGTTTTGCACTCAATCTCTCTACAAAATTTTAGTAGTAAGTTTGTTAATTTGGACATACAAATTATTATTTTTTGACATAAAAAGGCATTAAAAAAAGGACAAGGTTAAAAAAACAATTTAGCTTATGTCAGTAATGTACATGCTTTAACATAGATATACAAACTCATTTGTACACTTTCTCAAATACAACTCTCTTGACGCTTGTCATTTTCACTTTGAACAATACTTTTTAAGCATATCACAATCAATGTTGGTCAGAAATGTCGTACTTAGATACCTCAGCCCTAGTCCTGAGGAGTTTAAATATATAAGGGCAAAGATTAACAACAGAGTAATGCACTTACTCGCATAACAGGATGCCGTTCTCCAGCGCGCTGCGGAAGTCTCTGTCTCCAAAGCTTTTCCCAGTAACAGCCTGCGGGGACGACAGAAGACAGAAATGACCGCTCTAACCAGAAGTACAAGAAAGTGTTCACAAATCAGATTATCAGCATTACACGTGTTTGCAGTTCAGAGTACAATATGTGCGCCTGACTGTAATCCATACAATCTGAAAGCAATCTCATACTTGTCATTTCCAAACAGTTTACGCACAATTACACAATGACAATTTTGTTAATTTCACAGACACCATCATTTAGTTGCTGTAATCAGAGGGTGTGTTCTTGTGTGCCCTTCATAGCGATAACACAGTGTTCAAGACAGGTCTGCAGGGATAACAAAAGAAGAGTAATTGAATTATCTGGATTTTTAAATGAGCAAAATCTCTTTTTTTTCATTACATCTATATCATTTATAAGTGCCCCATGATAACAGGTCACATGTACAAACCATACCTGACTTTCTCTGCACTACATTTTTTCATGAAGTTATCAGAATTTATTCCTAAATAAAAATGCAATGAACGAACAGTATTAATGCTTACAATTTTCACGCAAATTAACCAATAAGATTGCAGAATGAGTGTCTCATCTGGGTTGCCAGTTTGTCAGGTGGAATGTATCTGGTTTTGGCTCTCATGGCTCTGGCTTTGGGCTCTTAGAACTAAAGCTGGAAGATTCTGGCAACAAAAGTTTGATAGTTTGTAGTGACTTCTATAGACCACTAGGAATGCATATTACATACAGCAATTTACCACAATAGAGATATCTATAGCCAAAAAAATTGAATTGATGATCTTATACTAGCTTTAGAGACCTGCATCTAAAAATGTTTCAGGAAAGGACGCATGTATCTACTCTCTTCCTGCTCTGATTTGCTTTTGTTTTGAGTTCTTTTGGGTTGTGTCCAGTCCCAAACAGAACTCCCTGAAGCTGCCCATCGGCCCTTCCCCCTCTGCTCTGGTCCTGACTAAATGATAGAGAAGCCAGTCCAATGATACACCACTATGTGCCCTATTTACATTTTCCCCAAGGCTTTGGTGACATGACTGCACCAGTTTGAAGAAATATGAAAAGGTGATTCTTTTCTGTACCATTTTGCGTTGATTTGCCTGACGTTGGAAACATAGTGATAACAATACAATAATATCTGATGATGAATTAAAATGACAATAAAATATTTGTTTGACTTGATTATCTGACAGTAGAACAAGACTTTTTCACAAAACTTGGAAATAATTGCAGCCAGGACTGAAATTGCATTATTAAATCAAATAAAAGCTAATGTTATTTTGTTTGGAAGAGAATGAAGCACTAAAAACAGGAAAGTCAGTGATGGGAAGAATACTTTGCAAATGTATTTTGGTTACGGAATACCAAATACTGTATACAAATATGATTGGGAATTCTACAAGTTGATCCTTTTTTTAAGACCAAAGTGATTTTATCATACCTGACAGTTTCCACATCTTGTCAGTCACTGTTCATGTAAACTATGGTCTCATTATTTTCTCATAAAGGTGTCTAGAATAGGTAAAAATATACAAAAAAACACATATACATGACTTTGCCCAGTAGAAAAGGGTGAATGGTGAATCCAATTACAATCATATAATGATTTTGGAAACCCAATTTGTTTTCAAAAATGGCTTCTTTTCCATAGATTTGTATTGGCACCTGCCCTTCAAATGATTTACAAGTCTACAACATCAACACAACCTCATTCTTCTTCTTGCCATGCATCTTGCACCCTGTTGGGAGGGAAGGGGAAGAGAGACAGTGTGCTACCAGCCCAGTAGCCCACACAGAGACATGCTCCTGAGCGGTTGTGTAACTGCAGTCAAAGTTGAATGGAATGGAAAGGGCTGCTGGCTCCTTAGACCATTAATCCAGATCAATGCAGATTAGTGTGGAGCAGAGCTGTGAACTTGGGGCGCACCACACTGATCCAACTGCTCACACTGGAGCCAAAACATGATTACTGTCTGGAGGAGGGGGACAGAACAGCTCAGTGCGCTACACTAATAAATACAGGTTTTTTTGACCAGTTAAGTGCACAGGATCCGGGGTAACACACAGTGGCAAATCGTTGTTTGTAACTTGAACATTTGGTATGGCACTTTATTAGAAGGTAAACTAAAAAACTGGGGTCCCTAACATTCAAACCATAATAATATGAGCTCAGTATTAGATTAGATTAGATTAGATTAGATTTCACTCACATGTATTCTTTGGCCTCTGTCACATTTTTAAGATCAGCTTTTACGGATGGAAAAGTGAAAAGTAGAAGGCAGACCTCACTCAGCCCTCAGCCCTAATGGTCAAGTAGTGACTTTCAAGGACTTTCAAGTATGCAAAAGAAAACATGTTTTCCAAAAAGATGAAGACAGCATGACAGACTCTTACAGTTGGGAAAGGTAAAATGGAACATTTTGTAGACAATTAGCCACCCCAGCTTTAACTATTAAAAAAAAAAGAGATATACTTTTGATTTAAGTAACCTAGAACTTTTAAGTAAACCCATAAGCCAAATAAGAACAAACATTTTTGTTTCACATTGACCAAAGTATAAATGATTATTTCAAAACTACAAAAATTAAGAGACAAACCCAGAATGCAAGTCATTACATAGAATTAGAGATTATAGAATTAAAATATTGAATATGTGAAGGTGAGGGTTAGGGTTAGGTTAATACAAGTCACCAAATCACCAAGATTCCTCTACAGCGCACTGGAATGTCAGCGGAACTATTAGGACCCCATTTGGATCGGAAGTTCTGATAATGAGAGCCTAACTGCGGGGAGCAAAAACATTACGTAGTAAAATGGTTGCATCCAATACTTTTCCGAGCTGAAACATATCCTCATTATGCATTGTCGTTTGTGTAGGCAATAGACTTGCTAAAATAGTACGTTGTAATCCTATATCCCCAGTCCCCCACAGTGTGTCTGCATCCCGATTGACCACGTGTAGGAAATGACCTCCAGCACATCGACGGCTATAAAGGCAGGCTATTGTGTTTTCTGTTACGTAAGGACTGTCCAGATGTTTCCCTTTGGCATTACTGACTTTTTACTCGTATTTCAATGTTACGCTCCTACAACCGCACAGGGGAAGAGGCTTGTCTGCGAAAGAGGACTTTAGTTTGTCTGATTCCTACTGCGTTTGTCACAGATAATTTCAATAAAAACAATACATCAAAGTAATACAAAAAAATACATTTAAAAGTACATTATGGAACCTTACTGGTGTGAGATTTAATAACACTTTTAAGCAACTTTTGTTAAAGTTAAACTCATCATTCTACCAATGTGCAGAAGCCTGTACTTTTCCACTACTTGTTTTGACTATCTCTGCTGGCACTGTGGCAGCTGCTGATTGGAGGTCTCATGCCTCCGCTCTGTATAATACAATTGCATTCTGTTGTTCGTGTTGTTCGTGCTGTCTCTACCATCGACAATAAAACATGTCTTCTGTCTGAATTTAAGACACGATCCCAGACTTTGTCATCTTCTTCACTGGAACACACACGTACTGTATGTGCGTTAACACAAATGTCCGACTCATGTGATGCTTATTCTGCTTTCTGCTTGAGAACCTAAATATAAAACGTTTAACTAATGTGGCCAGCATGTCAAATGTTTTTGAACACAATCATGGCTATTCTGGTGAGAAAAAGGCCATATAATTTGAACATGTCGACTTTGTGTCTGGGGACAAAGATAATATGTTGTAATTTAAAATTCAACTCTTACAAACTGTCCCTTTAAGCCTAATTGTTGACACTGTTGGCTGCATTATTTAAGCACCAGGCAGGGCACTGTAGTGAAGCCACGCCGAGAGATGGTTGCAGACAGGAAATGGACAATATGGCAAAGCTTGAAAGATTTAAAGGATTAGTGAAATATAAGCCAAGATGTGGATGAACGATTCCAGATTCCATAGCATACAGTATTTTCTTATTTTCTGACTCACTGGAATTGATCTGGATTCTAATTCAACAAAGGTTATAACAATAGTTCCTGCTATTACAGCTATTCCTTCAACGGCAGCATCACAACTATGCATTATCCTATACCTGCAGGTATAAAGGTGAGAAATATGGACCAAAAACACTTATTATTCAATATGTAAAATTTGTGGTTCTGGATTTAACTCCCAGTTCACATATACAAAAGGCTTCTATACTACTTAAAAGAGCTTCTAAAATCTCAAGTATTTCAATATAGAAAAAAAAAAAAAACATTTGAAAAGTTTCACCGTCCTCTTCCTACAGACAACCTGTATAATACAATACAATACATTTTATTCTTGTATAGCCCTAAATCACAACAGAAGTCATCTCAGAGGACTTAACAAAACCATTGAAATCACCAACACAGATCAGAGAATCAACAGTTAAAACAAAAAATACACATAATGATACCTTCTTTAGCCTGTGTATGTTAGTAAAACTTAAACTAATATTACATAAAAAAATACACAAATCAATTAATAATTCAATACATGATAAAAAATAATATATTTTCCTATGTAGCTTTATGGTAGATAATTCAAACTAAAAATTAGAAAGTACGAAGACAATACCCCCTTTCTTCTTACTATTATACTTTCCAGATTATGACATCACATCACAGAATATTTTAAGGATCTATTGCAAAGCGGTAAGCTGTCATGCGTGAGCAGAAACTTTAGCTTTGAGCATACTCTAACTATCTTGTTTTGCCTTCTCTGCTGTGAAATGAACATTCAGGCTTGTCACAAAAGGCCCTGTCACTGGGGGCAGGTTTCAGCTCCAGGACCGGTAACCTGAGCCCCGTCCTCCCGGTGCACACGTGCTGTGCTCGGGTGTATGGCAGCAGCAGCAGCAGCAGCAGCAGCAGCAGCAGCAGCCTCCCGTCACATTTTGGTGAAACCCCCAGGGCAACGGCAGCATGTGTGTGGGCAGGTTAGCTTTCAGATAACTGTAATAGTTATTTTTACACACGTAATACTACAAGATTAATGGAATCGAAAAAAAATCGAAATCTCTAT